CCATTTTTGTTACTTGCCATGTTCAACATTTGAGAAGCTTGAGCTAGGCTTTCAGATGTATTTGTGTATAGATCATATCCATCAACAATGTTGGCAATGAGTCATGAAGGTAGACTTGTTAGTATAGCTCCATCGTTATTATGAAAAGGCAAAACAGTAAGTAATTTCATCTTTTTTTTTTTTAATAGAGGCGTGTTTTATTTATTTGTTTGTTTTTTTTTTGTTTGTTTGTTTATACAAGCACTGGGTACAGTCAGAAGCGCGGGAGGGTGAGAGAATCCACCAGAGCCAGAGCGGGGAGCAGAGCAGGCAGAATGACGAAGTACACTGCTGAGGGGAGCAGCGGGCGGCAGGAGAGGTCTGTGCGCCATGTGGGACCCTCCTCCGGTGGCCGGGGAGCAGCCAGGGATTGAACCGGCACCGCAGAGGCTGCGCAGGCAGTTTTGCAACCCAGCGCTCAATCGCTGCGCCACCGGGGAGGCCCAAGTAATTTCATCTTAATTAACCCAGGCTTTGGTCAGCTGCTGCCATGTACCTGGAGGGCAGGAAAAGGGCAGAATGAAATGATCTCTGAGAAACAGGACAGATACAATCAGGTTGGGTCACTAGACTCATGTTCCTAGAGTGACAGGTGGAAAGAAATAACTTAGCATTAATGACCACTAACTGCTCACTACTTGAGACCTGTACAAAAAGGGAAAACTAGTCTGACAACTTGGGCAACAAACTGATCCTGAAGAGAACAGAAAAATCACAAGCTAAGTTTGATTTCTCAGTGGCATCCCCCATAGCAATTTCAAACTGTCACATCAGGAATCCTTTGCATTCTTAAAAATTATCAAAGACTGGTAGTTCTTTCTGCCAGCTTTTGTCTGTGCAAGTGTCTCTCACTCTTCTCTGGTCTGTTATCTGACTGATATATTTTTCAGTTTCTGCATTTGGCCTGTTGTGATGCGTTAAGTAACCTGTGGGAAATTTCACTGTACATACAAGCATGAGAGCAGAAAAATAATTATTATGAAATTATAGAATTATTATGAAAGTGACTTTGCAGAACTCCTGAACAGCTCTCTCAGATCCCAGCATTCTCTAGAGCATGCTTTGAAAAAGTGCCAGTCTAGTAGAAAGAATGAATCCCAGGCTTTTTGCCTCTGACCAATCTACATACCTATTTTATAAGTTATACTAAATGCCATGTGAAGGATGTAGAATTTGAATATATTATATAAAGTCCTAAACTTTTTCAAAGTTCTGATTTAAAATAATTTCATTTTCTTCATTAGAGTAATTCATTAAATGAATAAATCTATGTATTTAACATTTTTATCACAGAAAATTTTTTTTGAAGATTTATTTATTTATGCATAAAAGAACTGGAATGTAGGCCAGAGGTGCAAGGGGTGAGAGGATTCACCAGAGACAGACTGGGGAGCAGAACAGGCAGATCTACTGAAATGCCCTGCTGAGGGGAGCAGTGGGCGAGACATGAGAGGTCTGCTGTGCCATGTGGGTCAGCTCCCTGGCCAGGGATCGAACTCATGCTGCAGTGGGCTGCCGATAGCTTGATAGTGCTGAGACTTTAGCTCCTGTGCCACCAGGGAGGCCCAGAAAAAAATTATTTTCTATTAAGCCCTTATTTTTTGGTTTTGTTCTTCATGCAATAGCACAAAATTGGTGTTCAATAAATATTTGTCAAATTTCTTAGGCTCCTTATAGCTGAAACTACTGGCTACCAATCGTTCTATGTCTTTCATTGAACTCTTAAACTGATGACGGAAAAATAGTGAGCTAACAACAACTCTAGGGTAATATATCTGCTCCAAAGTCCAGATAATAAAAAATAACTCCTTTTAGCTTTGCCCAGATAAGCAGGGTACAGTCCTGTCCTTGTATGAAAGAATTTTTTGTTGTTCTTCTCACCTTCTACTGAAGAAACCGTCAGGAGTGCCTAGACCAAACTTTGTTTCTAGTAAAAATAATAATAGCTGTCCTTTAATGACTATTTCCTAAGTGTCAGGTACTAGATTAAGCGTGAATTGTTATTTCATCTTTCAATAAAGCTGTGCAGTAGATACTATTATCCCCCATCTATAGATGAGTACATTCACAGTCTCTTTGCTAGAAAATGTCTGCCTAGCAAGGGGGCCTTTAATCTCCTGATGCTCTGGATTAAGGAAGAGACCTGGATCCAGTGGGTAAGAATAGGAATTGGAAAGGCCACTTTTGTTTTTGGATCAGCCTCTTTACAGTTAATGTAGATGGGAGGAGACATGATTCCGTGCTTTTTATCTCTGATATGGTATCTCAGCGACAAAGAATGACTGTCTTGATCATTCTTCTGAATGCCGCTCAATCCTGGATCCAACATGAGCTCTAGTAGAGCATGGGTTGGATTTGCTAGACCTGTCACTTGTCAGTCAGTGAGCAACTGGTGAGCACAGAAGATGTCTCTTGGGCACAAGAAGTTTAAACATGAGTGGGGCCAGGGAGAAGTATAAAATATTTGTAAGCAGAAGACTATACCCGCAAATATAAAGTATCTGTTAGCACTGACTTTTGAATGAAACTCTTGTATCATTCGTGTAAAAGAGGAATAAATGGGTTACAGAGGTGACTGACTTTGTGCTCTGAATAAATGTTTTCCCATGACTCAGAAACGCTGATGATAAGGATAAAGATTTTTTTTTGTACAGGAAGGTAATAAAATTTCTTTTCTCAGTTCCTCCCTTAGAGATAATCAATTCTGGATTCAAATGCAGATCAAGAAAATAGGTCAAGGGCCCTGCAAACATAATTTCATTGTGTGATTCCCTAAGATACTAAGAAGGCTAAAACTGGTTTTGACTGATCCTGGAAGTGACTATATAGAATTTTTCCTAAAGCTGATGTTCACAAAAATCTTGAGAAAAGAGAGATTTTTTTGAATAACCAAGGAACAATCAGTGACAAAGCCATGGAATCTTACATATTGGTGTGGGGGAGGGGGGCCTTAGAAATCATCTTTATAACCTCTTTAGTTGATGCCCAGATGCCCAAGGGTTGACCAGGTTTATACGACTTAAAAGTAGATCTGGCACTAGAATTGAGTACTAATGGCTATATTCCTTCTTACTCTTCCTAGTTTCCTGGTATCTTTCCTCAAGACTTCAAGTTCTGTGTATTTCCATAGTCTTTTGATTAGGCAGGAAGGTGACCCTGATTCAGGATATTTGTATTTAGAAAGCTCTTTATCTCAGTTCTACTTTTCCCTCCGATTAAGATCTTCTGATATTTTAATGGGTATATGAATAACCTGGGTGTCTTGTTAATGCAGATTCTGACTTTGTAAGTTCTGGGGTAGAACTCGATATATACATTTCTTAAAAGCTTCCAGAAAAATCCAGTAATGTTGTTGGTCTTGTGGACCATACCATATAGCAAGGACTTTGATATTCATCTTATAGATGAAAAAACTGAGGCTTGTGAGATTAAATAAATTGTGTACATTCATCCAGACAGAAAATGGCAGACTTATGATTTGATCTAGGCCTTTCTGACTCCAAAGCTCAAAATGCGATAAGAAAGCCTAAGAGAAAGAGAAAGAGTTTATGTTTCAGTTTTTCTTTTCTTTCTTTAAGATTAATTTATGCATACAAGAGCTGGGGGATAGGCCAGAGGTGCGGTGGGGGTGGGGAGGAGAAATGAAAGGATTCACCAGAGACACAGTGGGGAGCAGAACAGGCAGATCCACTGAAATACACTGCTGAAGGGAGCAGCGGGCGAGACAGGAGAGGTCTGCTGTGCCATGTGGTTTCTCCCTGGCCGGGGATTGAACTCTTGCTGCAGTGATTGCTGATAGCTTCATAGTGCTGAGACTTAATCCCTGCACCACCAAGGAGGTCCTGTTTTCAGTTTTTTTTTTTTAAAGATTTACTTTTTTTTTTTTTTTTAAATTTATATAATAGCTGGGGTACAGGCCAGAGGCATGGGAGGGTGAGAGGATTCACCAGAGACAGAGTGGGGAGCAGAACAGGCAGACAGACCTAAAGCACTGCTGAGGGGAGCAGTCAGCACGACAGCAGAGGTCTGCTGTGCCATGTGGGAATCTCCCTGGCCGGCCAGGAATTGAACCCACGCTGCAGAGGCTGCAGACAGCTTCACAGTGCTGTGCTCAACCCGCTGCGCCATGGGGGAGGCTCCTGTTTCAGTTTTTCTTAAACAGGTTACTTCTCAAGTAAGTCCATGGTACAATACAGAACTAAGTCAAAAAGTCTGGCATCCAGCCCAGCCAAATGTTTCCCTTTTTCCTCCCATCAGTCCCTTAAGCAGGATCTTTCCTTCATGCTTTGCAAAATATATACAGAATTGGCTTTTGGGGGGCCTCCCCTGGTGGTGCAGTGGTTGAGCGGGCCTCTGTTGCGTGGGTTCGATTCCCGGCCCTCGGCGGGGGGGTCCCACATGGTGTGCAGACCTCTCCTGCTGCGCCCGCTGCTCCCCTCAGCAGTGTATTTCATCACTCTGCCTGTTCTATTCCCCGCTCTGGCTCTGGTGAGTTCTCTCACCTTCCCGCGCTTCTGACTGTGCCCAGTGCTTGCATAAATAAATAAATAAAAATTTAAAAAAAGAAACTATAGGGCCTCCCCAGTGGCGCAGCGGTTGAGCGCTGGGTTACGAAGCTGCGCGCTGCCTCTGCGGCCCCGGTTCGAACCCCGGCTGCTCCCCGGCCACCAAAGGAGGGTCCCACATGGCGCGCAGACCTCTCCTGCCGCCCGCTGCTCCCCTCAGCAGTGTACTTCGGTCCTTCTGCCTGCTCTGCTCCCCGCTCTGGCTCTGGTGAATTCTCTCACCCTCCCGTGCTTCTGACTGTACCCAGTGCATGTATAAACAAAAACAAACAAACAAACCAGCAAAACAAATAAATAAAGCATGCCTCTATAAAAAAAAAAAAAAAAAAAAAAAAAAAACTATAGAACTTTAAAAAAAAAAAAAAAGAATTGGCTTTTGGGTTTTCTCCATTACAGGTTTATTGCCAAACCCTGTGCACTCCATGTTGGCATCCAGGATGTTCGTCTACATCAGGCTCAACCCAATGCCATCCTTGAAAAGGTGTTCCTATCTATCACCAAGGTAAGTGCTGAGAAAGAAACAGAGAAGGTTCATGTCACCTTTACTAAAGGTTCTAGATGGGGTGGGATAGAGAGCAAGTATCTCCAAGGGTCAAATAGGATGGGATGATGATCTTTCGCTTGCAGGTCATCCTATAAGGAGAACTTTTTTCCCTCAGGGAAATAACCTTTGGGCCAATCTCTTAAAGTCAGGTTTACAGCCGCCTCCCCTAGACAGACATCATATTAAGACCTAGGAAGATAAACATCACTTGAGCCACTGTGGTTATCACCCCTTTGTTCATCAGCTAGTCAAAAGGATTTAAGGAGAAAGGGATGTTCTGACTCAGGCCATACATCTACAGGATCCTGATGAGAAAAGGCTAGTGGGCCTGTCAAAGCAACTGGACTGGGATGTCCGAAAAATCCAACACTGGTTTCGCCATCGGAGGAATCAGGACAAGCCCCCAACGCTCACTAAATTCTGTGAAAGCATGTAGGTGTGCAGAGGGTGGTGGGAAGTGAGGAGAATGCGGGGGGGATATGATTGGACTGAGGTTTTCCTTTTGGAAATACTTTCTTTTATTAAGATAATAGTGTAGGGCCTCCCTGGTGGTGCTAGGGGTTAAGCATAGCACTGTGAAGCTGTCCACAGCCTCTGCAGCACAAATTCGATCCCCAGCTGGCCAGGGAGCAACCCACATGGTGCAGCAGACCTCTCCTGACTTGCCCGCTGCTCCCCTCAGCAGTCTATTTCAGTCAATCTGCCTGTTCTGCTCCCCACTTTGTTTCTGATGAATCTTCTCACCCTCCCACCCCACACTCTGGCCTGTACCCCAGTTCTTGTATGCATAAATAAATAAATCTTTTTAAAAAAAAGTGTATTATTAGAAGGCTAATTCTAATCTATTATAGGTAGGGAAGAAGAGAACTAAAAGACTTGTCACCCTTAGTTTCTTAGACATGTTTACCACTAAGATAGCTGTAGTTCCATTTTGTTTCTCATCCCCAAAGTATATGGGAATGAATTCCTATAATAGCACTTATGTGCGTAAAGAGGCACACTCTTGTACGTTTTCATAGATAGGACTATCTGACTCTAACTTGACCTTTTGGTGGGAAGCATTCCTTTTCTGAAATGCTTCATATACTTCATTTCACTGGGTTTTTACTAATTATCTTCTAGAAACAGAGCACTGTTACGTCATGCAAAAAAAAAAAAAAAAATCAGGCACTATCATCAGGGGTCCTGATGGAGAAGACAAGTTTATTAAAGCCACTATACACTTGTAGGAATCTGTTTTTTTTTTTTTTTTAAAGCTTTATTTATTTATACAAGCACTGGGTACAGTCAGAAGCACGGGAGGGTGAGAGAATTCACCAGAGCCAGAGCGGGGAGCAGAGCAGGCAGAAGGACCGAAGTACACTGCTGAGGGGAGCAGCGGGCAGCAGGAGAGGTCTGCGCACCATGTGGGACCCTCACCCAGTGGCCGGGGATCGAACCGGTGCTACAGAGGCTGCAGGCAGCTTCGCAACCCAGCGCTCAACCGCTGCACCACCAGGGAGGCCCTGTAGGAATCTGTTTTAAAGAGAAATTGGAAGGTGTCTCTATCTTTGGCTTTTTAGGCAACAGTATTTATCCCTATTCTGAGAACTTACCTATCACTCACTAGTGACTTTTGAATGGATGTGTATCTAACTTTTATTCTTTGCTGATCCAGGTGGAGGTTCACTTTTTATTTATGTATATTCTGCTATGGAATTCGATTTCTCTGGACGGTGAGTCTGAACATTCTCTGTTGGGTTTTAATTGTGCCTGCCTCTCTAAATGCCTTTGAAGCTTTTTTTTTTTTTTTTTTTTTAAGCCCCTCTGTGTTGCCCATAGCTCAAGTTTATATGCTCAATAATTGTCTTCAGACTGGGATCTGACTTCAGTAACCTCATCACTATACTGTTTCTCCCCTGAATAAGGCTAATAATAATAGTATGACATCACCTTAGCATGTGATGGGTTACAAAGCACTTGACAAAAATCCCGTCCTTTCATGGACAAGCCAGTTACAGAAATGGAATCAGAATCAATAATCCTTAAGAGTGGATAAAACAAGTATTCCCACTTTTCAGTTAATTGTCAGAATCAAAGAAGTATTTTAGGTTTTTTTGATTCCTGATTCCATTTTACTACACTAGTTTCCTCTAAATCATATAGCTGGGCAAAAAGTGGCAGAACTGAAGGGAGCTAACAAATACACAATCGTTGTTGGAGGTTGTAATACTCTTCTCTAACTAGGCTAAATCACTAGACATAATAATGGCTGAGGAAGTCGGTTTGAACAATACAAATCAACCAACTTGACCTAAGTGACATATAGAACACTATACCAGATGTACTTGGGCCATCAACTAAGACTGTGTGCGAGACCATAAAATAAGTCTCAGTAAATTTTGAAATATTGAAATCTTACAAAATACATTCTCTGACAATAATGGACTAAGAAGATATCTGGGAAATGTTTGGAAGTTAAACAATTCTGAATAACCCACTCACCAAAGAAGAAACAAACCACTGGGAAAGTTACAAAATACTTTGAATTGATGATGTTGAAAATATAAAAGTTGTGGAATGAAGCTAAAACATACTTAAAGAGAAATGTAATAACTTTAATAAATGTTTATTATAGAAAGTTTTAAATTCAATAATCTTGCTTCTACTTTAAGATGCGAAACAAGAAGAGCAAAGTAAACCCAAAGGAGGTTAAGGGAAATAAATTATTTTTTTAAATGCGTGTGTTAATGAAATAGGCATTTGACACATAATGGAGAAAATGAGCAAAGCCAAACGCTGGTTCTTTGAAAGGTTTGATAACATGGAGAGACCCTTCAGGAAGAAGGAGAACAGATGATCACTATCAAGGAGAAATGGGGGTTCTCGTTACACACACTGTAGACCCTGAAGGGATAATAAGGTACACGATGAATGATTAAACGGTAATAAATTCAACAGCTTAGATGAAATACTTTCCTTAAAAGATACTCCATTCGAGATTTTTGAATCTTTGCATCTTTTGGACCTTGGCCATGGAGATCTCACAGTTACCAGGTAGAATCATGGTCTTTGCCTCCCAGACCCTGGGTCGTGATGCTCCCTAAAGCCACCCCAGAGCGCTCCCTGTTCCTGTGTACCGGAGGACATGGTTTTTCTGTTTGTAATAACACTCCATTGTTCTAGAAGAAAAATCTAGACATTTATTGACCCTGCAAGGACCCCTAAATTCAAGGGAGATTATTTTTCCTTATCTCTTTCCCCTCACCCAGAGAGGGGTCATTATATGAGTAAGCCAGGAGAGAATGTTCAAGAATGACCTGGATTATCTTGTTTTCTCTTAGTCACCTTGGTTCTGGGACACGCGACAGTGCTGGCACAGTTACCCCTATCAGGTAGGAACTGAGCCCTTTCAAGACAAGGGTCTTGTGTGGGGAACATGGTGTAGGAGAGTGCAGTGCCAGTCCCAGGGCAGAATCACGTTTCCTTGGTTGTGTTGAGGGGTTAATATGTTCAGAGTTTCTATTTTTTTTTTTTTTTTAAGATGTATTTTTATTGGGCCTCCCCGGTGGCGCAGCGGTTGAGCGCTGGGTTGCGAAGCTGCCCGCAGCCTGTGCAACGCCAGTTCAATCCCCGGCCACCGAGTGAGGATCCCACATGGCATGCAGACCTCTCCTGCCGCCCGCTGCTCCCCTCAGTGGTGTACTTCGTCAATCTGCCTGCTCTGCTCTCCCCTCTGACTCTGGTGAACTCTCACCCTCCCATGCTTCTGACTGTACCCAGTGCTCGTATAAATAAATAAATCTTTAAAAAAAAAAAAAAGATGTATTTTTATTTATTTATGCATACAAGAACTGGGGTGTAGGCCAGAGGTATGGGGTCGGGGAGAGGATTCACCAGAGACAATGGGTAGCAGAACAGGCAGATCTACTGAAATATACTGCTGAGGGGAGGCAGGAGAGGTCTGCTGTGCCATGTGAGTTAGCTCCCGGGGGGGGGGGGTTTGAACTTGTGCCACAGTGGCTTGTGGTAGCTTGATAGCCCTGAGACTTTACTGTGCGCCACCAGGGAGGCCCCCACAGTTTCTCTTTCTAAGACCACCTACTGCAGTGAAATCATTGAGGCTTTTGTTCTGTATTCACTCTAACTGGGATGGAAAGAAAAACGGCTTCCTGGTATTTAGTGAGATGCTTTCTGGTTCACCTGTCACTTTTGTATAGAAGGCAACTTGGATTCCCCTTAAGAACATCCTGGTTCGGGCCTCCCTGGTGGCGCAGGAGTTAAAGTCAGTGTTATCAAACTATCGGCAGCAGCCACTACAGCATGAATTCGATCCCTGGCCAGGGAGCTGACCCACATGGCACCGCAGGACTTCTCCTGTCTGGCTTGCTGCTTACCTCAGCAGTGTATTTCCGTCGATCTGCCTGTTCTGTTCCCCACTCTGTCTCTGGTGGATCCTCTCATCCCCCGCATCTCTGGCCTGTACCCCAGTTCTTGTATGCATAAATAAATAAGTAAATCTTTTTAAAAAAATGTTTAAAAAAACAAAAAAAAAATCTTGGTCCTAATCTATACTAGATAGGGGGCTGCTAACAGGGTGGAAAAAGGGAAGGCCTGAGTGTGTTTAATCTGAAAACTATTAAGTGCCTATAATTCTAGATACACTGACTTGATTGTCTGTACTATGTGTTTCCTATCTGATATCTAAAAGATGAGAGCTAAAGATTTGTATGTTGAAGGACAGAGGATAGTGGTTTAAGTCACCACACTGACCCAAAGTGTGTTTGTTACTGCATAACTTGGGAAATGATGGGGAAGAAGGATATCTAATATTTGGGGCATTGGTTCTCCAATTCAGAGAAAACTACAGAGATGGAATGAATCTTTGATTACCTGCTATTCTGACTCTCTTGTTTCTTCCAGCCTCTCACAAGTGGGCTTTATTACTACTACATCATGGAATTGGCCTTCTATTGGTCTCTTATGTTTTCTCAGTTTACAGACATTAAAAGAAAGGTAAGGATATTGGTTCCCTTAACCCTTTATTTTGTCTCCTTTCTGGTATTTTCCATGACTTCCACTGTGTTGGATTCTTTGCCCTGATTGGGACCACAAAAGAGGGAGAAAATAAGTTTGAATGGACTATTAGTTCTTTGTAATAGTCTCAGAAATGAGACTTGTTTCGTCCTTCATAATGATGATGCACATTGAGGTATATTTAATATTGAAGGCATCCCAGGATGAGAACGGTTAACCAGCTAAGAATCATATCCCTTTCCTTATTTTTCTCCAAGGTTCTTACACATATACAGGTCCTCAGAACTTGAGGATAAAAGGGCTGTACAGGAGAAGGGCCAATTCCAGGAAAGTTGGATCTGGCTTTTGTTTGACATTAGATCTTTGTTGTCTCTGTTCTCCCTTCTTAGTGACTCAAAGAATGTCGACTGGAAGGGGATCTAGGTGGCTTAGTTTTACCCTCTTGCTGTTGTTTAGGAAAACAGATTTAGAGGAGATGACTTGCCCACATAGTGGTAAAGATGGAAATAACTTAAGTTTATCCTTGCTGGAGAAAACCCTGGTTAGCATTTATGGGAATGGATTGACTCTAATCTGAGAGATCAGTTGTGTTACCTAGAAACTTGGTACTCTATTCAGATGCCTTTCATTCTCTTATGCTCAGGAGAGTTTCCCTTAATTAACATTTTATTTTAGTACGTGACACATAAAAGGTTTTTAACCTGTATGTAAATTTTAAAACATATCTAGAATGTATACTTGTGAACCCATCCCCAACTTGAGCTAGAACATGCCATACTATCTATGTGAAGAACATCCTTATCCTTCTGACCCCAGTTCACCTACCTTCTCCCACCCTCTCTCCTTCACTGGGATGATAAGTACTTAATAGATGTGTCTGATAACTTAGGTATTTAGATATTTCTACAGATTTAATCTTGGTATATGAACCCAGAGGAAATGAGAGCTTTAATCTGAGACCAGGAAGTATTTGCAATGAAATAAATTGATCATCATTTCTCTGAAACCTTTTGAAAGAGTTTAACCCTCCACAAACCTCTCCTTTTTTGATCCCTTTGGTTGAAAATTTCTTTATCAAAGCAGAAAATTTTAGAATTGCAGGGATGTCTAAGGTTTGTATGTCATACTGACAGCTGGGAAATTATTCCATTGTTAGCTCATGGTTGGTGCTCTACATAGTCGGTAATTACCAAAGGAAAGTAATTCTCCCTGTACTTTGAGCAGTACCAGTGTCAGTTATTGGTCAGGTACTGACTTAGAGAGCTTGGAGTTTAATGGTAGGCAGCTCCTTAAGGTAGAGTCTGAACAGAATGGAGTCTCTAGGGCTGGGGCTGTTGGAGGTGTGACATCCTCAGGGAGCAGTGCAGGCCACGCCTCTTCTGTTTCCATTCCATCCTAGGACTTCCTGATCATGTTTGTGCATCACTTGGCCACCATCGGGCTCATTTCCTTCTCCTATATCAACAACATGGTTCGGGTGGGCACTCTGGTCATGTGTCTACATGACGTCTCAGACTTTTTGCTGGAGGTAAGACCCTCGCCCCTCCTCTGCGTCATTCCTGTCTTTCTTCCTGTGTGAGAACTGATTTTCTCCCAAACTCAATTCTCACCCTCTTTCCTGCAGGCAGCTAAGCTGGCCAATTATGCCAAGTATCAGCGTCTCTGTGACACCCTTTTTGTGGTTTTCAGCGCTGTTTTTGTGGTCACTCGTCTGGGAATCTATCCATTCTGGTAAGTGTAGGACTGTGGAGCTGTAATAAATACTATATGTGGCTAATGATGCCTTTTGCCAACTTGGGGAACAGACCGTCATGAACCCTATATATGTGCTCTTTCTTTCATCTAACAACCCATTGGGAACTCTCACGGGAGCCTCGGTTGCCTTGCACAGTGTGTCTAGTGAGGTATAATTCTCATTCAGAGCCTCCAGCTCACTTGTCTGTGGCTTTCCTGACTTACCTCTGAGGAACACTTAAGCATTTTATGCTTAAGAAATTCCTTTGCCTTCTTTCCCATTGATTACCAAATTCTCCGACTGTACTTGTTTGTTTTCCTGCTCTACACTCCTTCCCCTACCTTGACCAGCACATCCACATACCACTCTCACTTCGATACTCATTGCTTTACGGTACAAAGTCAGCGATGCTGTGGATTGGAAATTCTGTTAATCTGAGGGAATGAGTTACCTACTGTCCTGTTTGTGCTTGAGGATCTGAGTAATTCCTAGGGTTATGATCCCGTTGCTCTCTTGATTTTGTGAAACTCTACATATTTGAAGCAATTAATGAGTTGTACCGTCAGTTCCTAAGATTTATAAATCTTCCCCTGTCTCCAAAGATAGAAAACTCCATAGGTCCCCTTTCTTTAGTCTCTTCTCACTGTGGGTGTATATCCCAGAAACGTCAGCTGATAGAAGGCGTGGGGAGAAGACCCAACTCAACTTCATCCTGTCTGCCAGGCTTGGACTCTTGTATCTGACCAGTGGTTCCCTTTTCTAGGATTCTGAACACGACCCTCTTTGAGAGTTGGGAGATGATTGGACCTTATCCCTCTTGGTGGCTCTTCAATGGCCTTCTCCTGATCCTACAGGTTCTGCATGTCATCTGGTCCTATCTGATCGCCCGAATTGCTTTTAAAGCCTTGATCCGGGGAAAGGTGAGGATAAAATGTGGCTTCTTTCTTTGAGGCTGAGGGAGAAGATAGCTATTAATCTGTAGACCTTCTCAATCTAGCCTGGTGAACCCCATCTACACAAGCAGACCCAAAAAAAAAGTCAGGGACTCCAGATTTGTTTGCCTATTTTGTAGTACAAGGGCCTAATCCTTTTAAGACATGACGTAGATGCAAGAGAAAGGTGTCTTCTTCCTGCTCCACAGAGATGACTTCTTAAATAATGAATTGGATTAAGTTTTGGAAATAGCCTCAGCCATTTCCTGTACCTTACCTGCCTACTTCAGTGGATTTTGTATTTCTGCTTTCAGTTTTCAAAGAAAATCATGTCTAGAGCTCCACGATATAAAATTATAAAAGCAGAGATGTTAGATTTCCTAGGAACAGTGTAGTACCCCACAGGCCACCTCAAGATGACCGCACTTTAATAGGAACTAAGTACCGGCCTTACCCCACTGTTGTATGAGGCAAGGGTCCTAAGTGAAGTGGGTATTTAGGGTTTTAAATGTCCATCTTATGCAACAGGTGCCCCAAAGCACAAAGCTGTTATTTGATGATAAGACTTAGCCAAATTTTGCAAGTTCTGAAGTATTCAGGCTGTGATTAGCTCAAGGGGTAGAAATTTCAATCTTCATTAATACAGAATCCCAAGGGAGGGGCTCTGGTAGAGGAAACACTGATTCTGGGACAAAGGGATGGGATGTCACCCAGGCATAGGATTCTTTTGTCACTGTTCCTCACAGCTGTAGTTGGTTTCAGAACTGACTCAGTGTGCCTGTGCATTTTGCTGTAGCTACTGGACCTCTATCTCCTCCCTGCTTTTCTTTCCTGACCAGGTGGCCTATCCAGGAAGGATTAGACCCAGACTCTGTACTCTCCACTCTTTTCTCACCTCCTACCTTTTTTCTATGCCTGGCCGGAGCTGGACAGTTTCATCTCTTGCATGTAAGTGTATCTGTGCTTCTGGTATTTGGTGAAGCATGTCTGTCTGTGTTTCTCTCCCCTCCTGCTTTCCTGTCTGTTCCCCTGTATTGTCTCAGAGCATGCCCACTTTTCTGACCCTCTAGGGTCATTGTCCGCTGGAGCTAAAGTTGCTAGATTCTCTTTCCTAAAAAGCAGAAGTTGAGTCTGCTCTCTTTTTCCCTTTCTATTTTTTGTTTGTTTATTTTTAAAGATTATTTATCCATACAAGAACTGGGGTGTAGGCCAGAGGTGCTGGGGGTGAAAGTATTCACCAGAGACAGAGTGGGGAGCAGAACAGACATATCTACTGAAATACACTGCTGAGGGGAGCAGTGGGTGAGACAGGGGAAGTCTGCTGCGCCATGTGGGTCAGCTCCCAGGCCAGGGATAGAACTCGTGCTGCAGTGATTGCCGATAGCTTCGTAGTGCTGAGACTTAACCCCTTGTGCCACCAGGGAGGTCCCTCCTTTCTATTTTTTCTTTCCTTTTTTTTTTTTGTCATTCCCCATTTTTTAATTCCCCTTTACCTCCTATTTAGACATATTCTGCCCTCTGCTGGAAAGTTCTTAATAACCAGGTAATCAATGTGTTGTCTGGGTTCACTGGGCAACAGCTATACTAAACTGCAGGATCTTAGAGCTACACTAAAGTAAGCCCGCCTCCTTGACAGCAGAGGTTGTAGCTTTCTTCCCTCTCACCCACCCCAGCCTTTACTTGACTCACATTTATTATTCTCCAGTTCTGGAGGCCAGAAGTGTGACATAGGTCTCACTGGGCTTCTCGCCTTTACTTTTATGGCCAGTGGTAGAGAAATTTAAGTAGTTTAAGGATAATTTAGATTGGAAAACTCTGCTCTAAACCAAACTCTTCATTTGAAAATACAGAACTGAGGTTAACAGTAAAGACTCAGATAGTAGCATGATTGGAACTGGAAACCTCTTCTCACTGACTGCCAATCCACTTTCATTTTCACCCTACTGGTGAGTCTTAGAGATGGTGAAGTTGCACAAAAGAAGTGATCTTGCTGCTGATGAAAGGGAGAAGCATGGAGAAACAGCACGATTGGAGATTGCTAGTTGAACCCAGGCAGAGTAGAACTACTGACAAAACCCAGTTATGAATCAGCTCAGAGGATGGTAAAGCAAACTCGGGGTGACTAACCTGAATAACTGCAGGTGACACAACCACCATTGGACAGCAGCAGTGGTCACAGCCGTAGAGATTGTTTACGTTGGTCTTTCCTATTTTTTGAGATGGAAAAGGAAGTGTCTTGTGTTTCCTTCGAATTATGCTAGGACTCAGTGGATGATCTTGGCTCTTTCCGGCTGGTCCTGAAAAAATAAACTCCTTCATCCCAGCAGGAAACAGAATCAGATAAGATGGAGAAACCCAGAAAGCAGGCAGTCTGTTCATAATGGTAGCTATGGTGCAGATACTACTTTGAGTCAGTTGCCACCAGAAAGAGGGCCAGTGTGGGAACAGTGCCCAAACATGGGCTTAGTGACCTTCGTCTGGCTTGTGGTTCCAGAAGAGTTCGCTCCTCATTTTTCTTGCCTTTGACCTCATCCCACCCAGGTATCTAAAGATGATCGCAGTGATGTTGAGAGCAGCTCGGAGGAAGAAGATGTGACCACCAACACAAAAAGCCCCTGTGGGCGCAGCTCCACTAACGGTGCCAAGCTGGTGAATGGTCACATGGGAGGCAGCTATTGGGCTGAAGAGTAAAGTGGTGGATGTGGGGACTTCAGCTCACAAGGACTCGTAGGGCCACAGGCCACCTATTCCTCTTGGGCCTCCCCTCATCTACACTCCTGTGACTAAGGGGTCTGCAAGGCATTAAGGAGAATCGAAGAAACAAATGTTTTCACTTTTTAAAAAAAAAAAAAAAAAACCTCTGCCATTTTGTATTTAATAGCCTCCAGGTTCTCTCAGTAATGTTATTTGCTGTGTGTATATTTGTGTGCGAGTGTGTGTGTGCATGCGCGCGTGTGGGTGGGGGGCATGCGCGCATGCATTTGTGCATATGCTTGAGTTCCATTGCCTCGGTTGGGGCACAGTCTGGACTGGGGTTTCTAGGCCTTGCCTGGTCCCTCTTTGAACCCACCCTAATTCCAGATTTGCTGCATCTCGATTTAGGCCGGCTCCTGACTGTCCCCTTTTGCAGCCCATGGCTCTTGAGGCTCTCGCCATCTGGATGGCGCAACCGGGTTTAGTTCCAGCTATTCTGGCTGTTCCTCTTTTGGAGTTGGAATATTTCATTGAAGTGGTATAGAAACAGATAAGAATGGACGGACGGTTAGATTCTATGGCCCCTAGCTAGATAACCTTCCTACCACCTGGTAGCGACACGGACAGCTGCTGATACCCTGCTCTTTACTCAATGGTACGCAGGGAGAGGGGGGTGGGAGAGGGTGCGCTGAGGGCTGGAGGACAACAGCCACTGGGTGAGCTGTTGACGGTTTATATTATTGTTTACTCTTCTCTGATTAAAAGTGCTTCAACCCTCTGCTGTCTCAGCTTCTTTAGTGATTCTGTCCCCAATTCCTTGAATCCATAAATAAGAATATTTTCACTGGTTCTAGAGACCCTTGGACATCAAAACATACCTTTATGTGCATATTGGAAAGAGAGTATCTACACTTTAGTGCTTTATCTTTTAAGAAAAAATAAACATGTGTAGTGATCACAAAAAAATACTGAACAAATGAAAGCATGTATATCGCCATAGTAATAAAAGCTTTGGTTGAAGAGCTAAGGCACTTTTAGTTAGGTACTTGTATTTCCCACTTTATTGGATACAGAGACTATCAGTTACCATTTTAAGATTGTGATAAATCAGTCTGAGCATATGTTTAACTTAATACTCTTTTTAGCCCACAGAGATACAGTTTTTCTAATCCAGACCTTGTTCTAGTTGAGGTCTTGGCAAAATTACCAATAGTAGTACTCATCCTTCAGAATATTGTTTTCCATTTCATGAATATTCAGATTGTCAAAATATTTCAAGATAATCTTGTGGACATTAAGATAGATGGAGTGCTTTATGCCAGGGAGATAGAACAAAAACTTCCTTCCTTCAGTTTGTAGCCAAGAGTCAGATGTTTAGTTTGTTAACATTAGGATATGCAGCCCACTGAACTTACTAAGTGGCTGGATTTTTAAAAGACTTCCTTTGGGGACATGGGAACATTTTAAAAATTTTTACAAAGTCAGAGCTAGATAGGAAGACTGAAAGATTAAGTCTCTGTATCTTAGGGGTATTCAAATTGATATATTGGTGAATAGATTAATTATTTCGAAATATGAAAGAAAATACTTTTGAAAATAAAGACCTTTTGAAATTTCAGCAACTACTCTATAAATACAGGTCGGGTGGGGAAAACTATCCTGAGGTCAGCTAGTAAGGAGGCAAACCTAGTGTCTCTGTTCTTAACCACTGGACTATTTCACTTGCCAAGACTTCATAATGAGGAAGAATACATGTTGAAGAAACATTTAGGGGCCTCCCCTGTGTCACAGCAGGTTAAGCCCAACACTGTGAAGCTGTCCACACCCTCTGCAGCACAGATTCAATTCCCTGCCGGCCAGGGAGATACCCACATGGTGCAGCAGACCTCTCCTGTCTTGCCCACTCCCGCTCAGCAGAGCCTTCAGTCCCTCTGCTCCCCACTGTGTCTGGTGAATCCTCTCCTCCCACCGCTTCTGGCTTGTACCCCAGTTCTTGTATAAATAAATAAATAAATCTTTTAGAAAGAAAAAGAAGGAAACATTAAGCCAGAAGCAAGACATTACAGTGTTTGCTTTGGATGAATGAGTTGAGATTAGGGTCAATTACAGGATTAGGAGCTTGTTCTGAGAAGAAGCAGTGTGAGAGTGTGTGTGTATTTTTTTTTTTTTTTTGAGGTGGGGGTTGAGTAATAGGCTAAGGGGGTTAAATACAGAACTGGAAGCTAATATTGTGACAGTAAAGCTGCCATAGTCAGTTTTAGAAATGACCTGGGATTTCTCATGTCTGAAAGGAAGGCCCCAAAACAGTGGAGTGCAGATTAGATGCTGATTCATACCATCCCTATCAGAAAACTAAGGATATTTGTAAGAAAAGCAAGGCATTACCTCTTTGACTATAAAAGGGTATTTATTATTTACTACAAAAATAACCAGTATGTTTGTATAGTGCTTTACTACTCAGAAAATTATTTCATATACAGTTGGATTCAAAACATTTCTCTAAAAGCAGGATTTCCATTCCATAAATGAGTCTTACTACTATGTATTGTCTTATTACTGTGTAGCCAGTCCCTACCAAAGCACGTACACAGCTCTCACAAGTTGCACTCCTAAGAGGAAGGAAGCAAAAGTTGCCAGGCTGCCAGGCCATTTAAGAGTGTCACTACAGGGTCTTCCTGGTTGCAGAGGGGTCAAAGAGTGCTGTCAGGCTATCACCAGCCACTGATCAAGCCACGAGTTTGATCAGCGGCCAGGGAGGTGACCCACATGGTGCAGCAGGCCTCTGCTGTCTCACCCCGCTGCCCCCTCAGTAAGATTTTGCATAAAAACTGGGGTTGGAGCTGTGATCCATGGGATTGCTCTGCAGAGGTATGTATGATGATGCCAACAACCTGGGATTCTTATGCCCCCACCCTCACAAACTCCCAAATAACAAAGCTCAAAAAATTTAAACCTGCAATATATAACTAGCAGAATACTAATATCCAGGATATATAATTAAAAAAAGACAACCCAAAAAAAACAGGCAACCCAACAGAAAGAAAGATGGGGGTGGGGAAGCAGGCAGGAAGCAAAGGTAATTCCAGTTGCCTCCAGGATTCCCAGAGGGTGAATATGCTAATGACTACTAACAAGATGCTCCTAATGGCTAACAGGTCAATAAAATATGCTCAGCTTTATTGGAAATCAAGGATATGTAAATTAAAATGAATAGAAACCACTTTACACTAACAGAATGGGGAAATGTTGCTGGTGAAAGTGAAACAACCACCTGAAAAAGCAACCTAACTATTGAAGATAAAAGACATTAGGGGCCGCCCTAATAGGGGTTAAGACAACGGCCACTATCAAGCGATCAGCAACCTCTGGAGCACAAGTTCCATCCATGGCTGGCCAGGGAGCTGACCCACATGGCGCAGCAGACCTCTCCTGTCTCGCCCACTGCTCCCCTCAGCAGTGTATTTTAGTAGATCTGCCTGTTCTGCTCCCCACTCTGTCTCTGGTGAATATTCTTATCCACCCCCACACACCGCCCCGTACCTCTGGCCTATACCCCAGTGCTTGTATGCATAAATAAATAAATCTTAAAAAAAAAAAAAAGATAAAAGACATTAGTCTCTCTGGAAACGAACACATAAGCATAAGGCAACAGGGCACTCGCTGCATTGCAATTTATGAGAGAATACGTGGAAACAACCCCCATGTTCCCTATAGGGTCAACAAAGTTACCAGCTTTTTCCCAACCTCCCTCCACCAGTGTCTGTGACTGCCACCTGTGGCCTGGCACCCCTCCTGGGCTGCCCAGGACACCCAGGGCATAATCAAGTGCCTATGATTATGGACACCTGGGTCCGAGGGCAGGGAGCTCGCATATTAAGTGTAGACACCTGTGCCGAGAGGGGCGGGGCTCGGAGGCTCGAAGGGCAGGGCGGCAGGACCACTAGGAGATACTACAGGAGTCTGAGAGGGAGAAAGCCTGAGAGAACGCCAAAGAGTGCAAAAAGTGCAGATGTGCGGGGGTACTGGGAAGCTCAGTTGCCTCTGGAGCCTCCTGGTCCCCCACCCCCACCCCGATCCACTTGCCTTCAATCCCTCACTAGGGAAATTGATTTACTCTATAACTGGAATATTATGTAGCTGCGCACGCACTAAGCTTTCCTGTCAAAGTGCATTTATTAGTCTGAATCAGCAGGATGGCGATTTAGACAATATTAAGAGACTTCCTAATAAGGAACTGGCTCGCGTGGTTATGGAGGCTATGCAACCCCAGCAAGGTAGAGAACCAGTGCTCCTGTTCACATCTGAGTCTGATGACCTAAGAACCAGGAAGGCTGACGGCGGTACTACCAGTCTAGTCCAAAGGTAAGGGAAGTCGATGTTCCAACCTGAAGACCCCCAGACAGAGAAAGAATTCTCTCTTATTCCCCTTTTGATTATTCAGGCTGTCACTATATTACTTGAAGCCCACCCACACTGTGGAGGGAAATGTATTCTATTTAGTCTACAAACTCAAATGTTGATCTCATGCAGAAAGACCCTCACAGATGCACCGGGAATAGTTTTTTTTTTTTTGTTTGTTTGTTTTTTTTATCATAATTTGGGGGAAGTTTATTTTTTTTCAGTCACAACTACATAATAAAATTAATTTGAATGAAGCAGTCAAAATAAAAACCTACAAGAACACCTGTAGATGCTTTTTAAAAATTGTATGAGCACACACTCCTAAAAATGTACAAATGTGAATAAAAAAACAGATTTGAAAAATGAAGTTATTTAAAAATAACCTTGGTTAATCCCATATCACGTAACAGAAGATGATTTAAACTGCAGTCACAGATTTTGAAAAAGTATACATATAACCTCATCTATAAAAACATTACTGTCCAAACTTGAAACTAAAAAGTTATTCAAAGTGACACAAATGTTCTAAATCTTAAGGAAATTTAAAAATACCTATTATCTGTATAAAACTGAGTAAAGCTGATCTGATTATGTTACTAAGAAATTTGTTCTGGAAACTTGTTAATAACTTACTGGTGGAAATTTTTAACATCCATTATTACTGCCATCTGAAACAGAATAAATCATTTCTTTCAGTAAATGAATAATAAGTAAACTGACAAGCTACAGGTTAGACATCACTTATTACAACCAAACATGACTCTGAAAGTAACAGGAGTGGTGATACAGTATCTCAGATTCAGTTGTGTCCTTAATTTCTCACTATGAAGGCAGCAGGCCAACCTACCTTTGAGACAATTTTATCAGTACACACAACCGGTGTCTTTTTTAATCCTGTTTCTGTAAAGTTTGTATCACTAGTCTATAACAGAGAGTAATGAGATAGTTTTAGCAGTACATGAAGCAAGAGGAGAACTGTGTTCTAGAAGAAACCGTTTATCTGTCTTTCGATCCAAGCTTCTCAATTAATTCCTGAAGAGGTGCCAACTCACGCCTATCAATCAGATTAAACTCCTGAACAAAAAAAATAAAGTGCTTAAAGGAGGTGTTGAGGTGGGCCTCCTCTTGAAGTTGCATTACAGAATCAAAGTGCTGATGATAAATATGGGCATACACCCTGAAGAGACGTTTTAGAATGGTCTTCGCCACAGACATGAAGTTTTTGGGAAACGGGACACCAATCTTAGATGGAAAAAGAGTTTCATCATCAAGTTGATCCTGAACCCAAGTCATCAAATAGTCAATGTATTTCGGTGCAGAACATTTGATTGGCTTTTTAATATTAGTACCATCTGCCCAATGATATTCATACCTTGGACCTGCAGACATGACTGAACAGCTTGCTTCAGTGCAGAATTCTGTAATAGTTCCATATAACATGTTGATCTGGTTGAAAAAATCCACAGTGTTAACAGCAATCCATTCATTGAGGTCCTCTCCCTCTGGCAACATAACAGCCTGTCTCAGATTCCCACTTCCTAAAGTTGCTTCTGCATGTTTCAAGAGTTCATACTGATGAGACCCTTCAGGGATATTCTTCTTTGGTTTGAATGTTTTGGAAGAGCGGCTGCTGAAGAGGAAGCTCATCGTCCGTCCTGGGAGGGGAGGGCGGCTGGCGCCCCGCGCTCAGGAGTGGCGCCCGCTTGGGAGCTGAAGGGGAGCGGACGGTCCTCAGCTCCCGGAAGGCGGAAGCCCGGGCCGCCGCTGCTCGAGCCGGGTGCCCAGCCGCTGCGCGCCGGTGAAGCCGCTGCGTCCCCTCGCCTGCCTCCCCCACCTCGCCGGCCCGAGACCCCGGGAATAGTTTTAACCAAACACCTGGGTTCCCAGTGGTCAAGTCACCATGACACAAAAAAATTAGCATAACAGTGTTAAGTGGAAAAGGCAAGTTACAAAAGAATATGTCCCGTGGCTGCAACTAACTTTACTTTTTAACACAAAATATTAAGGATATTTCTTTTTTTTTTTTTTTGATTGCTGTTTTTTTTTTTTTTTTTTTTTTTTATTTATTATATTTGTTTGTCTTGTTTATACATGCACTGGGTACAGTCAGAAGCGCGGGAGGGTGAGAGAATTCACCAGAGCCAGAGCGGGGAGCAGAGCAGGCAGAAGGGCTGAAGTACACTGCTGAGGGGAGCAGCGGGCGGCAGGAGAGGTCTGCGCGCCATGTGGGATCCTCCTCCGGTGGCCGGGGAGCAGCCGGGGATCGAACCGGCGCCGCAGAGGCCGCGGGCAGCTTCGCAACCCAGCGCTCAACCGCTGCGCCACCGGGGAGGCCCATATTAAGGATATTTCTATAGTAAACGACAGAAACATGTTAGCAGCTAGAATGGATGTTTCCCATAGTGTTACAGGGCAACCCCAATGTGACATGGGTTGGCCTGAGTGTAGGTCCTCACCCGTGTGCTAAAAAGGGGCTTATAAAGAGACTCAACTGGGCCTCCCCGGTGGCGCAGCGGTTGAGCGCTGGGTTGCAAAGCTGCGCGCGGCCTCTGCGGCGCCGGTTCGATCCCCGGCTGCTCCCCGGCCACCAGAGGAGGGTCCCACATGGCGCGCAGACCTCTCCTGCCGCCCGCTGCTCCCCTCAGCAGTGTACTTCGGTCCTTCTGCCTGCTCTGCTCCCCACTCTGGCTCTGGTGAATTCTCTCGCCCTCCCGCGCTTCTGACTGTACCCAGTGCATGTATAAACAAAACAAACAAACCAGCAAACAAATAAATAAAGCATGCCTCTATAAAAAAAAAAAAAAAAAAGAGACTCAACTGCAGCACATACAAAAAAGGTTAAGAAAGGGTTTATTTACGAAAAGGGGAAATTAAGAGAGCTATAATCCAGGGAGAGGGAGAGGGAGAAATTGGTGAATGTGTCCTACCAGTTCTGCTGAGCTGGGACCCCAGTAGCATGGTGAAGGCTGGTGAACACCAACCAACTCCAAGGCCCACATGTCTGGTTATATACCAAGCCTGGCTGCTTAACTCCACCCTCAGTTCCCAGAAATGCTCCCTTCGGTGGTGATGGCATAATGACATTTGCAGTCCTTGGTGCCTTGGATCACTTTGGTCTGAGGAGGGGTTGGAGTCCATAAAAACTGTGTTTGTGGAGTTTGCTCAGGACATCCTTTCCCCCCAACAATAGGGGAGGGCGGATGTGGGTAAATGGTATGTTATTTTTGGTGTTTGTTAGTAAATTTGGAATAATTCAAAATTTAACTTACATTTCTTTAAATGTTAAAACAGGGCCTCCCCGGTGGTGCAGCGGTTGAGCGCTGGGTTGCGAAGCTGCCCGCAGCCTCTGCAGCACCGGTTCGATCCCCGGCTGCTCCCCGGCCACCGGAGGAGGGTCCCACATGGCGCGCAGACCTCTCCCCCGCCCGCTGCTCCCCTCAGCAGTGTACTTCGGTCCTTCTGCCTGCTCTGCTCCCCGCTCTGGCTCTGGTGAATCCTCTCACCCTCCCGCGCTTCTGACTGCACCCAGTGCATGTATAAATAAATAAATAAATCTTTAAAAAAAAAAAAAAGCTATGATTATAAAAATAAATAAATAAATAATAAATAAAAGATTTTTAAAAATAAATAAATGTTAAAACAAGTATGTGGTTGGGCCTCCCCGGTGGCGCAGTGGTTGAGCGCTGGGTTGCGAAGCTGCCCGCGGCCTCTACAGCGCCGGTTCGATCCCCGGCTGCTCCCCGGCCACCAGAGGAGGGTCCCACATGGCGCGCAGACCTCTCCTGCCGCCCGCTGCTCCCCTCAGCAGTGTACTTCGGTCCTTCTGCCTGCTCTGCTCCCTGCTCTGGCTCTGGTGAATTCTCTCACCCTCCCGCGCTTCTGACTGTACCCAGTGCATGTATAAACAAAACAAACAAACAAACAAATAAATAAATAAAACATGCCTCTATTAAAAAAAAAAAAAAAACAAGTATGTGGCATTTTCAGGGCATTGTAACCTGTCGGGGTTGGATCAAAGAGGCAAGAGATGAGAATAAGTAGTGGCTGAGGCTTAGCTTGTTTAGAACCTTGACCATCAGGCTAAAGATTTACATTTGAGCTGGTAGGTCCTGGGAGCCCTCAAAGGTTTAAAGCTGCAAAAAGATGCTTCTAAAAGCGGGCGTGGAGAGGGTTATCATAGAGCTGGGGAACAGATCTTGGAGACATATGGGAAATAGATTAAAAAATGCATACGGGGCCTCCCTGGTGGTGCAAGGAGTTAAGACACAGCACTATGAAGCTATTAGCAGCATGAGTTCCATCCCCGGCCAGGGAGCTGACCCACATGGTGCAGCAGACCTCTCCTGTCTCGCCTGCTGCCCTCCTCTGCAGTGTATTTCAGTCAGTCTGCCTGTTCTGTTCCCCACTCTGTCTCTGGTGAATCCTCTCACCCTCCTGCACCTCTGGCTTGTATCCCAGCTCTTGTATAAATATTTTTTTAAAAATAGATAAAATAAAGGGGCCTATGGTTTGACCTTCACCAATACATACTCAGGTTATCTGTGCCACCTTCACCTAAGTCACGTGCAGCTGGTTTGGCTTTTATTTTTTGTTCAGCTTCACCAACAAGAGTTTAGCCACAAGCTGGGTTGGAGGAGGAAGAGGAAGCAGGTTTGGGGGTCTGCCTTCACTCAAATGACTGCTTTATGAAAGCCATTCAGGAAACAATATTAAACTTTTTGGCAGCGAAGTGGCTCTACTATCTGATGGTAATTAACTATAAGGAATTGACTCACAGTTACGGTCAGACCCGATCCTTGTGGCTCTTATTGTCTGGTCTCTCTTCTTCACTGCTCCTCCCTCCAGCAGGGTGCCCAGGACCAGCTATCAACATCACTAACAGGTCTTCAGCCTCTGTGTAGAGGAAGGATCCAGAGTAAAGAGAATGAGATAGACATATTTTTCTCTCTCTTTAAGATTTATGCATACAAGAACTGGGGTATAGGCCAAAGGGGTGGGGGATGAGAGGATTCACCAGAGACAGAGTGGGGAGCAGAGCAGGTGGATCTACTGAAATATACTGCTGAGGGGAGCAGTGGGTGAAACAGAAGAGGTCTGCTGAGTCATGTGAGTTAGTGCCCTGGTGGGGATTGAACTCATGCCACAGTGGCTGACGATATCTTGATAGCTCTGAGACTTTAACCCCTGCACCACCAGGGAGGCCCCAAAAGTCAGTTTCTTAAGTCATGTAAGACTTAAGCTGAAAGACTTATGAGTAGGGGCAAAGGTCAGAGCAATATGCATGAGAGAAGATGGCTGTCAATTGGAGGCTGATTATTTTTGATCACCAAGAATGACATGAATAAGCTTCAAAGCTCAAAATGGAATTGTGGGGGGGTGGGGGGCGGGAGGGGAGGGATTGGGGTCAGAATGGGGGGTTTGCAATTGTATGGGGACTATAAAAATAAAATTTATTATAAAAAAAAATGGAATTGTGGCAAGAATACCTATTTTCTTTTTTAGATTTATTTATACAAGCACTGGGTACAGTCAGAAGTGCGGGAGGGTGAGAGAATTCACCAGAGCCAGAGAGGGGAGCAGAGTAGGCAGAAGGACCGAAGTACACTGCTGAGGGGAGCAGCAGGCGGCAGGAGAGGTCTGCGCGCCATGTGGGACCCTTGCTGGTGGCCAGGGATCGAACCGGTGCTGCAGAGGCTGTGGGCAGCTTTGCAGCCCAGCGCTCAACCGCTGCACCACCAGGGGAGGCCCTTCTTTTTTCTTTTTTTAAAAATTTATTTATTTTTATACAAGAACCGGGGTACAGGCCAGATCCGCGGGAGGATGAGAGGATTCACTGGAGACAGAGCAGGGAACAGAACAGGCAGACTGACAAAATACGCTGCTGAGGGGAGCAGGGGGCAAGACAGGAGAGGTCTACTTCGCCATGTGGGATTCTCGCCGGCCAGCCGGGATGGAACCCGCGCTGCAGATTGGGTTTTACCTTGAATGCATTGGTTTTTTTCCAAATGCTCTTCACAATTCTGCTGTAAGGCCTGCAGGTAGATTTTCTGTGTGGTGGCAGAGTGAAAAATCAGTCCCTGTACTAATGCTATACCTACTGAGCTTAAAGGGGTCGGCTGTGTTACTGGTCTGTCCCAAAACCCTTCCTGGCGGCAACTATGCCTCCTCCATTTCATGCAGTTTTGACAGGGCTGTTAAACCAGGGCCTCTGCCTTCCTTGACACAGAGGTGCATGTGTAACCATGCTGCCAGAACACCCCGTTACCTGAACCAAAGGAGAGTCTGGTCTTTACAGTCCTCTTAGGGGATTTATACAGAAGTTGGGGCAGATTTTCCCCTGTATTTTATCCTAAAACTATATATCCTACACTTCATGGTTGCTAAAAGCTTAAGATAGAACGCCAGTGTAGGGCAGGTGAATTGGCCGGCTTTTACGCCACTGGCCTCTATGGCTATCACCTGTGGTCTTGTTTGTGCAAATGCAGGAGCGTGGGAGTGTGAGTCTGGGGCACGCATGCCTGATTGTGGACACCTGGAGTTTGGTGTGGGCAGGTGTAACTGCACAGAATGGCTGCGGCGGAGGATGGCTACGCGAGGATGAGGGACTACAGAGAGGCAGGGCCACTGGACAATGCCAGAGAGAACCCAAAGAGAAAAGCATACAGATTCGCTGGGGAGTGGGAGGCCTGCCAGCCTCCTAGCACCCTTGCCTCGCCAGCCGGCGGACTTGCCTCACAACAACTGGCATAGAAAGAGCATTAAATCCTGAAAAAGCCACTGAGGGCTCCAGGACTCTCCTTTATCTATCTGCCAGAATCGATAGAGAACCTGCCCCCTGCTTGCTGGCACTACATCCAGTTTGACTAGAAAACGGTAGCCAAGGTTGCACCTTGGTGGTTCATGCCCTATTTGAGTAAACAAAAACGCCAAGACGCATTCATGGCAAGATATTTAATGTTTGTTTGTAGGTGGGCCTCACCCTCCAATTCCTGTCATGACTCAATAGCCTCCCCAAACTGGCAGTACCAGGGAGAACAAGGGAACTTCTTTCCAGCAGGGTTTGAAAACCATAGTTCTCTTGACTTGGAAATGACTGCAGGTGAGGTCTTTCCACAGCATGCCTCAGGCCTCTCTGCTTAAAGAAAAGAGTCGCTGGCTCTACAGAACTCCTGAGGGCTTCTGTTCTTCGGCAGCCTGGCGCCGGAGGCTGCGCCGCTGGAACAAGTGGTAGGCTCGGACACTGCAGAGGTAGCCGCCGTACACAGTGAGGAGCATCATGGAAGCAGAGAAGGTCTTGTAGCCAATGTCAGCTAGCTGCTTGGCAGTTGGCATGTCGTCCCCTAAAAGGACAGACTGGATTTAGACCCAAGGATAAAGCCTTACCTGCCCAGCCCACTTTGCTGATCAAGGTCATTCCCTAGCGTCTGCATCCTGCTCAGTCTGTCTGCACTCTACTGCACAGCCCCTGCATTACAGTCCTCTGCAAACTCTCATAGTCAGAAGGGCAAATAAACGTGCTCATGCAATACAGAAGCACAGCTGGAACCAGGTACATCTGAATGACATCATAGCTAACACTTGGCTCTTCATGTGTGGGAAGGGGGTGAAAGTAGGACCACCCCAAAATATCCTTCATTGGCAATTACTTAATGTGGAACCAAGCATAAGTATTCTTAGCCATTGCTTTGTGTAACTGCCATTTTAGAATTTTAGGTTTTGCTGGGAAAAGACTGCATTCCAGAGATAGTTTGGACCCTCACTCCACCCTTACTCTCTGGTCACCAATGAGGGCAAACTTGCTGTAATTGGAGCTGCAGGTTGGAGCTGCATCTTGGCCTGGCCAGTCAGCTTAGAATGATAGCCGGGCAAAGTTGGAGAACGCATCCTTGTAGCCAATGAGTAACTGCCAGCATAATTTAACCTTATTAAAAGACCCCTGCTTCCTCTGTTCGGGGCTCTCGGTATCTGCCACTGCGTTGGTAGGTGCCATGAGCCTTCGAGTCTGAAATAAACTCCCTTTTGTCTTTGCATCGGCTGTCTTTGGCTTCTTGGAGGCTATGCTCGCCGAGTCTGTTGACCTTGGGCACAACACTTAAGGCATGTATCAGTTTTTCTGGTTAGTAGGACATTAATGGACGTAGCTAGGGTTTAAATATTAGCAGCAAATTACTCTTTCTAGAAGGATTTAATTGGAACCTTCTAGACAATATGTAATTTGTTTTCCCATAAAAACAATCACAGCGGTTGGCATCACAAGTTAGCCTCGAGCACCTCTTTAAGCCATAATATATGCTTCAAATAGTGCAGACAGTATATTTTTATTACTTACTCATACTTAACTTTCTATGGCATTAATTCTAAGCTCTGAACACAATACCAAGAACCTATCTCCCAAGCCAAAGAAACATGCTGAGTTCCCAGCTAATTGTTAACTCACATTTGCATGAGATAAATTACTTTTAATTCAACTGTTTCCTGGATATTCTGAGTTAGGGAACAAAAGAAAGTTCGGCAAGGGACTCTCTCATTCTGAGCAAAGCAGTCCTTCATTTGGGACTATGAATGTGTGCGTAGACTCCTCTTTATTCATGGAACAGAAATTAAGACTGAGTGAAATTAGCAGGAGTCTTTTTTTTTCTTAAAAGTCAAGAAATTGGAAGAAAAGCTCAGGATTAGCTGACTTGGATCAGGAGTGATATGGGATATAAAACGTTCTCAGAGGGAGCCCCGCGGGCGGAACACTGGTAACTTCCTTGAATTATAATTCCAAGGGACTACGGAAAGTCACATTAAGTAAGGTCAGAGGATGAAAGCCAAGCAGCACTGGTTCAAACTGAGAAAGGACAGTGTTCAGCTTATCTACTTTTTAGTGGCCTGTACAGGGAGAAATTGGGTACAGGGACCCCTTATTCCCTCTCGCTGTTTCTTTTTTTTTTTTTAATAAATCTTTTTTTTTAATAGAGGCATGTTTTATTTATTTATTTATTTATTTTATTTGTTTGTTTTGTTTATACATGCACTGGGTACAGTCAGAAGCGTGGGAGGGTGAGAGAATCCACCAGAGCCAGAGCGGGGAGCAGAGCAGGCAGAAGGACAGAGGTACACTGCTGAGGGGAGCAGCGGGCAGCAGGAGAGGTCTGCGCGCCATGTGGGACCCTCCTCCGGTGGCCGGGGAGCAGCCGGGGATCGAACCGGCGCTGCAGAGGCCGCGGGCAGCTTCGCAACCCAGCGCTCAACCGCTGCGCCACCGGGGAGGCCCTCTCTCGCTGTTTCTTGTTCTCTGGTGGACTGCAAGGAAACCTTGGAACAACTGAAGTCTGGAGCCTGGAGCAGCTACAGAAGCCAGATCTCTGGCCCATTCCCAAAGATTTGTCATTGTCCTCTTGGGAGAGGGGTATCAGGTTGGGATACAGCCCCCAACATTACCGAAAAGTTTCATGCACCTCCAAAGTTACATGCACCCTCAAAGAATGCGGTGGCCCAATCAGGTGGGCCATAGTTCTTTGTTCAAAACCCCCAACAGGCTATCTGCCTTATGGACAACAACTGAAGCAGTCTGGCCTGGACACTCCCATGTGTCCCTGAAAGGTGCCCAAGAGCTGGGCAGGCTGCCATAGCTGGAATGGTGGGCAGTTTCACTTTCCTCCTCCTTGCCTTCCCCTCTGTGACCAGTGATAGTCCACCTGTTCCAGCTCCCGAACCTCTGTTCAACATCTGACCATCAAACTATAGCTTCCGGTCACGGAGTATCAGTCACACTGGAGTAGCATCATGGAGACCTAGAAGCACAAAAGGCTGCAGAATATATGAACCTGGATGCTTAGGCAGCCCATTTTGGACAACCAACACCAGCTGCAGCCTCTCAGCACAACACATGGCGGCTAAAATTGACCCTGTCTGAAAGCCCAAAGTGCAGCCATCTGATTCCCTTCCAGACCCCATTCCCCACTGTTCCAAGAGAGCAATAAGTTAGAAAGGGTCAGCATTCCGCCCCAAAACTCAGCCTGGAGATGCTACAGAAGCCAGATCTCTGGCCTATTCCCATAGATTTGTCACTGTCCTCTTGGGAGACGGGGAAACGTCAGGGTTTCATTACTAAGGTTAAAAATTAAGTCCTCATTCCCTACCCAGCAGGCAAGTTTGGGAGGCTTGAACAGATAAAGGGAATTGATGAGGTTGCTATGGGAACCAGTCCATAAGATCCTGAATGTGGAGCAGGGCCAGGACACATTCTGTGTCATAGGTAAACACCTAAGACCAGACAATCCAGCAGATAACAGGTTATAAAAGAAAGCTGTAAGCCCTTCTTGGTAAACAGATCTCTCCTGTCTCCCCACCGTTCTCTTGCAGGTTATTTCAGAGAGGTATTTCACAAGGGCTGATATCAAAGATCTTCAAAGAACTCATACAACTCAACAAAAAGAAAACAACCCAATCAAAAAAATGGGGGAAGGAGCTAAATAGACACTTCCAAAGAAGACATACAATTGGTCAACAGGCACATGAAAAAATGTTCATCACTTATTGTCAGGGAAATAGTTTTTTCCCTTTTTTTAAAATTTATTTTTGCATAGAAGAACTGGGGTACAGACTTGAGGTGCACAGGGTGAGATGACTCACCAGAGAAAGAGGGGGGAGCGGAATAGGTGGATTCACTGAAATACACTGCTGAGGGGAGCAGTGGGTGAGATAAGACATGTTTGCTGCGCCATATGTGGGTCAGCTCCCTGGCCGGGGATTGAACGCAGGCCATCAGGTGTTAGTACAGAGACTGAACCCCTAGGCCACCAGGGAGGACCTACATCAGGGAAATAAAACCACCTAAAGGGGAAGATTCCATACTTCTAAAATACAAACAACAATGTAAACCAATCTTTCCTCAAAAATAAATAAATAAAAATTTTAATCAGATAGGATGGTACAGTTTAGCTAGAAGAGTAACAGAAGACTAACAGACTTAATCCTGGTTTCTAGAACTCATTTCTTTCTCTTTTCTAATCCACCCAGAGAGTTCTCCAATTTTCCAAATTAACAAAAACTCTTCACAGACCCTGAGATAAACAGGGCAGTAGAGAAGGTAAGGATAAATGCATTTATTAACTGACTAGATTAGTGCAAAGCTGAAAATACCACCAATGTAGCAAGTTAGTAAAACTTTGTGGATTGTTATACTATTAAGAGAAATAAGAAAGCGGGCCTCCCCTGGTGGCGCAGCAGTTGAGCGCCGGGTTGCGAAGCTGCCCGCAGCCTCTGCAGCACTGGTTCGATTCCCAGCTGCAACCCGGCCACCAGAGGAGGGTCCCACATGGCGCGCAGACCTCTCCTGCCACCCTCTGCTCCCCTCAGCAGTGTACTTCGGTCCTTCTGCCTGCTCTGCTCCCTGCTCTGGCTCTGGTGAATTCTCTCACCCTCCCACGCTTCTGACTGTACCCAGTGCTTGTATAAATAAATAAATAAACCAAAAAAAAAAAAAACAAAAAACACAACACCTTAAAATAAAAAATAATAGTCATTATTATAAAAAAAAAAAAAATAAGAAAGCAGGTCTACCCTGGTGGCGCAGCGGTTGAGCACTGGGTTGCGAGGCTGCCCGCAGCCTCTGCAGCACCAGTTCGATCCCTGGCCACCGGTGACGGTTTCACAAAAAAAAATAAATAAATTAAATGCTCAGTACAACATACATGTATCTATCAGCCAGATCTTCCCACTCTGGGAAAGAAGCTAGCTACATATACAAATACAGATGGCGGTAAACAATGACACCAATGCAGAGGAAGAGGCCAGGAGAAAGAGGCCTAGGGAATGTCAGTCTGAAGAAGGAAGACAATTAAGGAAAGAAGGCAGGTGAGAACTTCCTGAAACATCTGGGGGGCTTTTTCATATAACTACACCCCCCTTCTTGGCTGAAAATCACTGCTGTATCAAGTCACTGCCACTGATGGAGGTGTGCTGTATCTTTTGGAATGGTCAGATTAAGAATTAGGAATCATTATTGCAAAGTTAAGTGCCATGAACGCTGCTCAGATAGGAGCACTAGAAGAGACCAGGTGACTGGGTCACTTGGTAAAAGTCAATGTAGTGCACCTAACTGGAACAGGTATTAAGAGCACAAATTCTTAACTCAGGCCCCAGGAAGCCCATGAGCCATCCTTCTCCCTAACTTCAAGAGTGTCTATGCATTTTTTAAAAAGATTTATTTATTTATGCATACAAGAACTGGGGTACAGGCCAGAGGTGTGGGGGGGTGAGAGGATTCACCAGAGACAGAGTGGGGAACAGAACAAGCAGATTGACCGTAATACACTGCTGAGGGGAGCAGCGGGGGAGACAGTAGAGGTCTGCTGTGCCATGTGGGTAGCCCCCCGGCCGGCCAGGGATCGGAACTCATGCTGCAGTGGCTGCCGATAAGCTTCACTGGTTGCGTCTTAACCCCTTGCACCACCAGGGAGGCCCTGTCCATGCATTTTTTCGGCCATAAAGAAACATTATTAGAAGAATCATCACAGACCCTCACCCCAAAGAAACAATGTTCTTTTGATTTGCTGGATAAGAGAATGGGAATGATAGGGCAACTGCTTGAGAAGGTAACAAGACAGAGGAAATTCTAGTTTTGATTTGCTTGTCCACAGAAAGATTGGAATATGTTTGAGGATTTGAATATGTGACTAAAATGAGGATGGGTGGAACAAGATCCATGATGGGCGCCTCCCTTGTGGTGTAAGGGGTTGAGTCTCAGCACTATGAAGCTATCAGCAGCCACTGCAGCAGGAGTTCCATCCCCAGCCAGGGAGCTACCCACATGGCACAGCAGATCTCTCCTGCCTTGCCCACTGCTCCCCTCAGCAGTGTAGTTCAGTAGATCCCCCTGTTCTACTCCCCACTCTGTCTCTGGTGAATTAGGAAAAGATGAAATTGGAATCTCAAGGAGAAGCATTATCCAAATGAAGGAAAAGGTAAACATTCTCATGAGAGGGGCATGCATTTTCTCAAAAAAGCACAAAGTTAGGTGGTATGGGGTGATGGTGTTAAATTGCAGGTTTCAGCAAAACGGTGGGGGGGAAATGGGAAGAATCATTAAAGCTCAGGTTTCTCCTCTGGACAACTCATCAGCTTAGATTTACTCATTTCTCTCTCTTACTGGAGCTGTGAAGACCGCAGACTCAAAGGAAATACGCTATATATCCCCGATTTGCTGGACAAGGTGGCAGGTGACCAAAAGAGGTATTATGACAGTGAATAGATAAAGTGGAGCTCAAGAAAAGTTGGCAGAAAAGTGTCTTTTTATAGGGGTGAGCAGGATTTACGCAATCAGAGAAGCCGGCGGGGGAGCATTCCCGGGGTGGAAGCAGCAAAGGGGTGGCGCTGCATGACTGATAAGCACCCAGGGTGCCGGGGAAAGCTGCACATCGGAGCACGGCGGACTACAAGGCAAGGGTCAGCGCGTGGAGGGTAAGACGCGAGGCTGGAGTCCAGGGCTGACAGGACCGGACGGCTGCAAGGAGCCTGCTGGGCTGGAAGCGGCGCGGGTCGAGGCTCGCGGCCGGCCGCGCCGGGTCTGGCCGCTGACTCAAGGGCACGGCGCGGACGGGGACAGGGGAGGAGGCGGGCAGCAAAGGCCAGCCCGCGAGGGCGCGCGGGGCGGGGGGGCGTACCTGAGGGCTGCCGCCGGCCCGTCCAGTCGCGTCTCGGCGCGCAAGGTCTCGCCACGACAGGCCGCGCACCCCCAGCACCGGCTCGCAGGCCCCAGAACAGGCTCGTGACAGGAGCGGCCCGGGACAGCCCTGCGCGCTGAGGCGCTATTGGCGAGGAGAGCCGCTCGTTCCCGCCCACTCGCTCCTCTCACCCTCTCGGAGTCGCTCCTCAGGCGAGGCCGGCCCCGCGCGCGCGCCCCGCGCAACCCCGCCCACCGCGCCCGGCGCCCGCCGCTCAACTTCCGGCTTCCGGGCCGGTCCCCCTTCCTAAGCGTCCTCGGACCAGCCTTCCGCTCGGAGGGGCCCGTTGAATTCTGGGAGTTGTAGTCATACTCCGTTAAGAGAGGCTTTTTTTTTTTTTTTTTTTTGACCCGAACTTGAAAGATGCCCAGTCACAAGAGAGAAGACGCTCGGCTCGCGTATCAGAGCCAGCCAATCCTCAGACTACGGCCCGCTGACGTCTCCAGTAGCTAGGTAAATCCTGTCGGAGTCAGCCTTCTAGAGGTGGACCGTGCGCCCCTGGAGTCTGAGGTTGCGTTCGCCCAGGTGGTGGGGTTTCCGCCAGCGCAGGTAGGAGCCCAGCGGCAACGGGTATGGCAGGATTGGCCCAGGCCTCGCAGAGTGCGCGAGGGACAGAAAAATCTCTAATATTTTCGCCCGGTATGTCACCTCCCGTCTTGCAAACGGTGTGATAAAGCCGGGAAGGGACAAGCACCTGCTGCTAGGAGCTTGGAGCGGCCGGGACTCTCTTGGATGGCTTTTCTTTTGAATTTTGTCTACGTTATGAGTGAAATTATATGTGATACACTGCAGCATACATACTCACACATGCACTGAGCTGTGTCAACTCCTTTCTAGAAAACCATGCTTGTTTTTTTGGTAGTGGTCAATTGTGGAGTGAACAAATGTAGGCAAAAATTTTTTACTATCTGACAAAGTCGTAGCAACAGCTTAGGGAAAGAGCTGACTTTCTGCCGCTACCTTGACCTCCTGGGCTGGCAGCTCTGATTCAGCCAGTGCCTCCACCTGAGCTCAGCCACACCTGGGCTGACTGTATCCTCACTGGCAGCTGCCGGATCCGGGTAAGAGTGGATTCTCAAGGGCTGCTGACTGGGTGGAGTCGCCCTCCCAGGTTGGTTAACGTCAGTCACGCTGGCCAGAGCCACAGTGCGCCAGGTGCTGCCACACAGCAAGCTGAGACCCCCTGCTGGAAGCGGCAGGAGCGTCACAGGCCCTTGGTGTCTATTTATAGCCAGAGGCCCAGGCTGCCACCCATGCTGGAGCAAGGCCAGTACAAAGTAAACTCTCCCTCCTCCCCTTCCTGTTCTTCCCTCACCCCAGGAGGAAGGCTTTTTTTATTCTTTTTCCTCCTCAGAGTTTTCTGATTCCAAGGTGTTGGTGTAGTCAATAGCTCTTTTGTTTTTTAAGGTTTATTTATTTATGCATAGAAGAACTGGGGCGCAGGCCAGAGGTGCAGGGGGTGAGAGGATTCACCAGAGACAGGGTGGGGAGCAGAATAGGCCAATCTACTGAAATACACTGCTGAGGGGAGCAGCGGGCAAGACAGGAGAGGTCTGCTGCACCATGTGGGTAGCTCCCTGACTGGGGATCCCACTCAGCAGTGACAGAGTGATAGCACTGAGGCAATCTCTAGGCCAAAACCACTTGAGAAGGCCTTCAGATTCAAAGTAGAACTGGCCTCAGAATGTCAGGATCCACTAATATGGGGACTTACCCACAATCACCCTCTGGGCCATTCTCTAGCCCCTTTGGCTCCACATGCAGGTGCTGGTTAGCTGCCTTGGTTGCTCTGGGGGCAGCTGAGAAAGAGGTACAGGGTTTGGAAAGAGGAAAGGGGTGAAGCCAAGGATATTCTGGGGGAGCACCCAATTCTCTCGCCTTCTAACACACACACACACTTACAAGGGAAAAAGGGCAAATACAAAGGTCACAGGGAGCAGACTGATCTGAGCCTGCTATGAAAAGGTGTAGCTCTGTCAGCAGATTAAGTTCCTGCTCCCCTAGGAGGGTGCTAGTGGGGAGGGTGAGAGAAGACTTTGAAAGGTCAAGCAGAGTAAGAGGACCTGGCAAAGAACTAGGAACTAGGAAGTCCCTGGGGAGAATGGCAAGCCCCAGGGCCAGAGATGCCAACCTGGCAGCGACGCTAGTGCCAGGACAGCCTGGGGGAGGGGGAAAGGGGATGACCAGAGGTTTTTGAGGACGCAGATGTTGCTAGGAGAAGGCAGTTGTTTGAGATCTTTGTATTTTGTTAACAAACACTGAGATCCATTGATGCTGTGTGGGGTCTGGCAGAGGTCAGAGCAAAGGGATCCCTGGGGCCTATGTCAGCCCAAAAGCCCAGGTCCCTCCCTGGCAGCCCTTGCTTTGCCCTCTAGTGGCTGGGGTCCTTTAGTCCTTTAAGTGGGCTGGGGGACAGGACTCCTGGCCTGGGAGCCAGCAGTGGGTGGTCCTTACCTTGCCGCCCTCTCCTTCCACCCTCCTTAAACACACACACCCAAAGCAGTGCTGGGATTTGATTCTACCCCTCCCACAGGACAGAAAGAAAGCCCTACATCTGGAGAGGGACAAGACAACTCCATTTCAGGTGAGATGTGATGGCAAGCCGCTGCAGGCCTCTTGGTGTTTCAGGATTTCCAGACAGGAAGGTGGGCCCTTCTGCCTTCGGTCCGCCAGTGAAAAGTTAAGAAGAGTCTGCTTCATGGGGAATCTTGGAGATCCTAGTGGCCAGGCACCCCAAGCTTCTGCCTGTCTCCATTGGGGTGGAGAAGTTTGCTGGCCTGGTCCCTGGCCCTGCTCACTTATGTTCTGGGTGATTCTGCAGGCAGCGTATGAATTCACCCACAGGCTGGCCCTCATAGCACACCCTGTACACAGCCATGAACAGAGGAAACCTAGAGTGGGGCAGGAGATACCCAGCTTAGCCCAGCTACCCAGTTCCCCGCCCAACTTCTGTCCCTTTCTTCCCACTATCTCCCACCTTCAAGTTCAGGCAGACTCTGGCTCTTGATTTCCAGTAGCTGGGAATTTGGACTGCCTAGCCCTGGATTTTAGGGTCAGGTTGTTAACTGTCCTATCATGTTGAGCTTGTCCTGCCATGAATTTTTTGTCCCAACTGGGCAAGACAATGAGCCTCTCTGAGCCTCAGTATCAGCAACTGTAGAATGGAGCCAGTAGTACATAGTAGCACAGATGTGGTTGCGTGTTTGGTGAAGGTGCTCGGTCAATGCCAGTTTCCTCCATCCTCTTGCCTACATTACCCCTTAACCAGGAGACTTTACCCTGATCAGCCACCAGCTGATCTTCTGAACCTGTTTCACACTCTTTTATTTGAAATTCTTCTTAGACCAACAGAGCCCATCTGTCCCACTGTCACTGGGCGACCTGGAAAGGATCCACTTGACACAGAGGGCATCCTCACACCTCAGAACCAAGAATAGGTGTTAGGAGACAAGAATAGGATCGTGGGAGCAGCTTTGGATGGGGGTGATGGACAGAGAGGTGGAATAATCAGGTGAGCTTATTCCTGTCTCCCCAGAGCTCTATCCCTGCAGGAGATAAGGAGGTAAGGACAGAAGGGAGGCCATGCAGAGGGGCCCAAGCAACGTGGCACAAAGTGCACTGGCATGGCAGGAGGTCAAAGATCACCAACTAGCTAGAAGACAGTGGGCCTAGATAGATGCTCCCAAGCTCTCGTCTGTCTGTCTGTACACACAGACAACATTACCTGTAACCGCTTCCCGGGGTCAGGAAGGTCGTGAATGGGAGAGGGATTCTGGCTGCGGTTCCCTCAGCCAGAGGGGCTGAGGCAGACACTTACTTGTCTACCAGACCCCTGTGCTGGAGGATGCTGTGTAGCTCCCGGGCTGTCTGGGGCCCCTGCAGTTTCTGCCCGTTCAGCATCTCTTTCTCCAGTTGCTCGATGGACTGTGAAGAAAACAAGATGGGCAAATGGAAACAGGAAAAGAGGTGGAGGTGTGAGGTGGAGGGTCTGGGACTCAGATGAAGGTGGCGTCTGGAGAGAAAAGAAAGGCTGGGCGTGTTCACAAGTCTTAATATTGGTGCTTAACAGATGCCTTGAGCTAAGCTCCTCTACCTTAATGCCTGCAGGTCCCACCCTCCATTCTCTCCAGGACCCACCTTTCCTGTTTTGGCGAAGGCCTCGGCCACCTTGCGGTTCCGCCCTCCATAGCAGGTAGTGATGAGGTCAGCAACACCGCAGCTCTCCAGGAAGGTCGTAGAGGACACAGGGCCACTGCAGAAGAGCTTGGCAAACGCGATCATCTCCATGAGCCCCAGTCGGATCACCGCTGCCTTGGTGTTGTCGCCGAAGCCCAGGCCATCACAGAAGCCGGCGCCTACAGCCACTATGTTCTTTGGGGAGTGGAAGTCACGGGTGAGAAAGAATCCCTCCTGGCAGGCACCACTTGTAGCCTCATCACCTACCTCATACTCTTTCCATCGGCCATGAGGTGCCCCCTGAATGAGCAAAGTGCGGTGGGGAGGCTCCTGAACTGTCTTCACCGTTTGGTTGTTTGACTTGCTGGATCTCCTTCTTCTACATGGGCCTGTGCTTCCTAGCCCCCCCGCCCAACCCCATTCTTCATCCTTGAGGACATTTCCTGAAAACCACTCTTGTCTCCAGCTGGCTGCCCCCTCTCCATCCATGACTATCCCTGTTCTCGATCCCTGAGGTTCTGTCCAGGATCTATAGTTCTGACCATTATCTCTCAGGGTATCCCGGATGTCTTGTCTCCAACTAGCCTGGGCACTGTCCCTTGGGCCCTCTCCTCCCCCTGGACTAGCCCCTGGAGTCAGGGAGAGGGATAGCCCACAAGGGGTTGAGGGAGAAAGGGCTGTCGGCCCAATGCCTGATGGGGACTAACCAGCAGACCTCTATGACCTTGGCCTTACTTCTGCAGCTCTTCCTGTGTGGGGGCCTCGGTGAGGAAGGGGAGCAACTGCCCAAGAGGACAAGCAACCTTGCCTAGCTAAGCCAGGCCCTGCTTTGGGAACTCCCTGGCCTACGGCTGTCTCTGTGCCCCTCTCACCTTTAAGGCCCCGCAGATCTCTACTGTGTCCACCTCTTGCACCACCGTGATGCGGAAATTCGGTGTCTGCATCAGCTCCTTCAGAAGCTGTCCCTGAGCCAGGTTCTTGCAGCCTAAAGTGGGGGGGGGGGTCAAGGCTTTGTGGGGGGGCTGTTCTTCCCTAAGCAGGACCTGTAATCCTTTCCCATGGGGTGTCCCAAGCTTCCCTCACCTCAGATGCTTGGGTTTTCTTCCTTGCCTGCCTTATGGGAAGAAGATGGTAAAAAGTGTATGTTGGGGGTAGCAGGGGAGAGTGGGGATGGGCGGTAATCATAGCTGTGCTGTGTGGGGGGGTGGCGGAGCACTCACCGATGGGTGCTGGGTCACTCACCGATGGTTGTCTCACAGAACTTCTCATCAGCCACCTCGCTGGCGATGTTGGCTCCCATCAGCACACTCATAGGGATGCCAAGGCATTCTGCGATCACTTCAGAGATGAGCTTCAGCCCGTTGGGGCCCTCGTCCACTCCCTGGGCACAAGATGGAGCTCAGGCCTGTGCCCTTTATGCCCAGCTGGGGGCTTCCCACCCAGAAATGCTGTACCTTCCAAGTGCGCTGTTCGTCACTGTCCCTCCCCCAAGGCCCTGCCCCATCCCAAGCCAGGCAAAGCCTGTGGCAGGGAGAGTAGACAGAGTGTGAAAACAAACCCCTCTGAAAATTCTCCTTCTGTATCCCCTCAGCCACTCGCCTCTCCAAAGCAGCATATCCCTTCCACATCCCTCAACAGTGCCCTCCTCATTCTCCAAATCAACCTCTGTCTTGGCCACTGCTCCAGACTATCTTTTCACGCTCTTTAAGCCAACCTGCTCTCATAACCCCCGGGCAGCCCTGTGACCCTCCTAGACTCCCAAAGACACCTCTTAGCCATTCCCCAAACAACCTCCCCAACACCTCCTGCATCGGAATGTTTCTCAAGACTCCCCAAAGCCACTCCTCTTCCCAGAAAACTTAGTCTACTTCTGTCATTTTCCTCACTTCACCCACTCTAAGCCCCATAACAGTGGCTGCATCCCACCCACTTAAAGGAGTCCCTGGCACCTTGATAAGAGATATGCCAATGGTGTCTGCCTTCAGGTTGCCCTTGAGCTGATCACAGATCTTGCCGATGAACTGATGGGGCACTACAAAGATCAGGATGTCAGCATCCGCTGCAGCCCGGACCACATCTGGGACCGCCACCTGTGGGGTGATCAGTGCTCATGGCCCTGATAAACTTCTCCTAGCTCCTGCGGAATCCCATTCAGGAGATCTCGGAGCCAAAGAGTGAGTCTGGTGGGGGGAATGGAAGGGCAGTTTGGGGACTGAGTCTGGCAGAGCTGAACTTGGAGGAATAAGACACTCTCTTCCCTCCCCCTAGCTGTCACTCCCTCTAGCTCCAGTTGTCCTGGGCTCTTGAGGACTCCTGGAAACCTCCTTCCAGCAGCCTCCTAGCCCTTGGCTGTGGGACAGTGAGAGAGGCCAAAAGAGGCCTGGGCTTGGCAGGAGAAAGAGGCCAAGTAAGATTTCATCACTCTACTCCTTCAGGCCCCCAACTGGGAAGTGAAAGCTCTGTCTTCCTGCCATCTTCCTGCTCCCCTTTCCAGGTGGGAGCAAGTCTCATGGATTCAACCAAACCTGAAGTCCAAGGAGCAGCATGTAAGTCTACTAGTGACCCAGTGAATGAGTAACAGGATTAAAGCCTGAGGCAGGTACTACCCAGATCTGGGCGCTGGAGAACCTGTCTTGGGTTGCCACAGAGACCAGCTTCCTTGTCCTCTCCCCCTCCCTGTGCTGTCTGCGAGCCCGTAAATAAGGGGGTGCAGTCAGGTTCTCCTCAGTCCTAGAAAATGCCCAAGGGAGCAGTTTGGTGGCAGTATCAGGCTACCCTGTGCCTGGAAGAACCCTCCTGTGGTGCACCCCAAATGTGGCACCTGACATACCTCCCTCTCAGTAGGTGGTACCCCTCCACCTCCCTCTCCCTCCCTTGTGGGGTGTTGGAGCTCACCACATTGGGGGGCAGCTTGTGCCCTGGCAGGTATTTGACATTCTCATGCTGTGTGTTGATGATCTCGGTCAGCTTTCTGCCCCCGACATCTTCCTCAAATACCCACATGGTCACCCGTGGGTCAAAGCGTGCCAGCTGGGCTGCATTGTTGCCCACAATCTTGGCAATGGCTGAGCCCCTGGCAGGACGGGGAGCACAGAAAGTGGAGGAGCGGTGGTATGACGAGGGGGTGGGGGCTGCGGGGAGGGGGCAGTGCTGCACCTCAGGGTATCACCAGATTATTTATTCTCCATGTTCCTCATCAACCCCATCCCCATGACAATTTGTCCAGAGTGAAGGAGACATAGTCTACCTCACGCTTTGCTGCTGCAGAAGGGGAGCAACCTTCTGATCTCCTCCCCGACCCCCAAACCCAAGCAGCCTTGGGGCAGCGCGCCTTCGCAGACTCCCTTCCAGCAGAAAACAGGTGCGGCTGCCTGGGCCGGCCGGGAGAGGTCTGGGCACCGCTGGTCCTGCGGGGGTGGGCTCAGGAGATACCCGCGCGTGCAAGAGCCCCGGGGAGCGTTTCCTACCCACGGGCTACCTCCTGCCCACTGAGCCTCCCCCGCTCCCCCCGCTGTGTACTTGGGGGTTGCTCCCCTCTCCCCCGGAGCTCTTAAACAGAGCTGCTTACCAATTGCCAGAGCCTACAATGCAGACTCTCTTGCCGGCCATGGTGCGCTTCTCTACCGGAGCCGGCTCTGTGCCACTCTCCCCGGCGCCTGCCGGCTGGGAGCTTTTAACTCCGCCACACGTGGGTGCAGCCAAGCCCCGCCCCGGGGTGGGTGGGGAGGCGGGCGCCAGGGGACCGAGTGTCTGGCAGAGTCAGGGGAAGAAAAAGAGAAGCAGGTGGGGAGCAGGGATGGGCCTGAGGCCGGGTCTTGCTCTCCCTCTTAGGCTTACTATAGGGTGACACTGGCACGCGCCTTCCCTAGTCTCAGCTCAGTTTCCTGCTCGCCCACCCTCCCCCCCAGCAGAGGTTTCATTTTGAGGTCTGCCAAGAAAGGGCCCAGATAAGGACCAAGTGGCCCAGTCTCCTTCACTCCCTGATGTCCCCGCACTAGAAGCAGATACAGGAAGGCTTTCTTTTCAAAAGCAGGAATCGCTCTGCATTACCCTCCCAGGACCCCAAAAACTGCCATGTAGGTTGTTTTTTTTTTTTGTTTTTTTTTTTAATATTTGAAGGGCAGGTTTATTAGGGAAGGGATAAAACAGTAAGACACTTGCAGAGACACAGCAGGCAGGAAGAGCTGCCCCAGTAGGGACAGGTTTGCTAAGAGAGGCCTGCATGGTCGTAGGCCGGTGGCCTTGACAGGTCACGGGCAGGCAGGAAGGCTGCTGCCCTGCAGAGGGAGAGAGTTGGTGAAGAGAGGCACCTGCATAGTCACAGGTGGGCAGTGGGATTGTTGCTGTGAAGGTTGATTCTATAGCAGTAACAGAGACCACATGTCACTGGCCCTATATTAGCTCCTTGGGGCCTCCCTGGTAGATACTGAGGGAGTGGTGTAGGACCCACTTTTAAAGACCAAGTAAGAGATGAGGGCCTGCTTTGGGGAGAACCCAGCCCAAGGATAAGAGATGCCAGGAACCCCAAGAGACAAGGTCACCTCAGGGCCTTGTTAGTGGGCTTCCCCTACCCATAAAGGATCCCCACCTGAATGTCTTTCAGGGCGGGAGGATGAGAAAGGTCACAGTTAGAAGCGGTGATGCCAAGTGGCCTACGATTGCACTTTTGCAAACTGTGGGCTTAAGGAGGAAGAGGACAGGAGAGAAAAAGCAGCCAAAGTGCTGTCTTTCAGAGGCTTTGAGGTTTCTTCAGTCCTCTCTCTTGGGTTTCCAAGCTACCACACTGGAGGGTTTCTTGGGCAAGCCATAAAGGGGAAGCAGAGCAGGCCCTTTGGGCCGCCCTGGTGGCGCAAGAGGTTAAGCGTCGGTACTATGAAGCTATCTGCAGCCATTGCAGCACAAGTTCAATCCCCGGCCAGGCAGCTGACCCACATGGCGCAGCAGACCTCTCCTGACTCACCTGCTGCTCCCCTCAGCAGTGTATTTCAGTCAGTCTGCCTGTTCTGTTCCCCACCGTCTCCGGTGAGTCCTCTCACTCCCCACACCTCTGGCCTATACCTTTGTACCCCAGTTCCTGTATGCATAAATACATCTTTAAAAAAAAAAAAAAAGAGGTCCTGAGGCAACTGTGACCTCTGAGGAGCTTGGTGGTCTCAGATGTGATTGAGTTGTGATTGAGTAGGGGGAAGGGCGACAGGGAGTAGAAGGCCCACATTCAGCAGCACAGAGCTCTACACTGCCCACACCATCTGTTTGACTAAAAGGGGGAGCTCTGGTTTCTAGACTGGAGAGTGAGGCAAGAGGTGCCCAGCATTCCAGCTGCCTGTGCCCCTTGGCCTAGAGGACAGGCAACACTGTGTACACATGCTGACCTCTTGGCTTGGCTGACTACTAAGTGGGTGTTTCTATTCCCTTGGGCCACTGTTGACCCATAATAGTGATAAGCACTGGGCCAGAAGGGAGTCTGTATGCAACCACTGGGTAAGGGTTAAGTGGGCAGAAGGTCAAGACTGAGAACTGGTTTTCTAAATTCTAGGGTTTGTTTAGGAAAAGCCCACCATCCTCCTAGGGAGTCCCCGTAGGGAAACATACACGAAATCAGTAGTTACCCTTAGGAAGAAAGCTGCACCTACTGCGGAGCCAGCCTCCCACAGGTGACTGGCACTGTGACAAAGGCACGAGTGCAAGGCTGCCAGTGGGGTGCATTAAGGTGAGAGAGGAGAAAGGATGCTTCGGTCCCCGGGGCATATGGAAACCCCAAAGAATGAATGAATTTCCCCCTGAATGTGTCCATCTCACTTTGCCACTACAATTACTTTCAGTGTGGAGACATTTACTCATTTATACAGGAACAGTGTGCAGACTCAAGCAGAATTGGCTAGTCACAGGTTATCGATACCACTAGAATTCTTTTCTCAAGAGCGAACTGTAGATTTGCTTAAAATTAAGAGGTTCATCAGTTACTCATTATGCATGTGGTTAGCCTGAGTAAAAAAGGTGCCACTTCAATGTCGTCTTGTTAAGGTCGATTTTTTTCCACTCCAACCCCCAAGTTCCAGACTGGAAGGCCTTATATCCTTGAAGTGCTTGACTGCAGACAGGCAGTAGAGTGTTCTCATCCATGGAGGCGAAGGGTGTTGAACTACAACTTTAGCAGGTGGACGCACTATGTCCTAAACCCCCCTTTTGGGTAGAACCAAGCTAGATAACAGCACAAAGGAGGAGTAATTAGCCACCAAGTGGGAAGCAGGCACATCACGATGGCAACTGCAGCAGCATTTCATGCTTCTGCTAATGGGAATGCAAACTCTGCCAATGAGGGGGTTGTCCATTCATTGTATAACAGCCATTTCCACTCAGTTCTTAAGAACAAAAGTCTTAGAGCATTGAAAATGGAACCTTAAAAGAACAGCAGGCACAGAGAACAAAAAACGTCTTTAGCTGTGTAAGCCTTGGCCAGTGTCTAGACAGGAGCCCCGAGGAGGTGGAACTTCTTTAGAGACAGTGCCCTGGAGCCAGCGGGTTCCCTGGGGTGTTCAGGATGACACCAGACAAGATGGCAGTGCCGTTGGCTTCTTTCTTAGTATCTTCCTAGCGGAAAGTGGGGACAAGATTCTAAGATCCCAATAATACTGACCCGTTCCTACCCCATGTTGACAGACCAGTAGGGTTGACCGAGCAAGCTCTAAAGTGAGAACCTGAGAGCTACAGGGTAGAAACCTTGTTTCCCACCATATCCCAGCACCTGGCGCCACAGCTGACACACAGCAGTGCTCGATGTTTGCCACATACAACGCACGCCATGAGCATGGTTAATGGAATTCGAGGAGAAAGAGGCAGGGACGCACTCTCCCCCAGTAGGGAGGGGGCCAATCCTTCAGAAGATTTTTATTAAAACTGGCTGACATTGATAAGGGGACAGTACAAAAAAAATTTTGGTCCATGAAAAAAAAAAAAAACAATAATTCAGTTAATAAAAACAGTTATCTTCAACAGGGACGCTGCAGGAGTGCGGAGCTTCCTTCTCCAGGTTTCTGCCCCACGGACAGAGGCTGCCCAGTGTCACTGTGGGGAGAACCTTTCAAGGGAGGGAAGGGGCAGTGGCAGGAAGGGGAAGACGGGGAGAAAACCCTGCCAGCTCGTCTGGAACAGGCAGGGCTACAGGGCGGGGGGATGTGCTCGCAGGAGCCTGAGGAGGGGTGGGGAAGCAGGGGCTTTGTCAGTTCTGTGGGGTTAGAGCCCATGCTGAACGGAATCCCCCCTCTGCACCCAGCTGTCTCCCACCCTGCTGTGTTGAGTCTGCGAGCCTGGGATATGCTAACTCGGAGGTGATGTAACCTGGAAGAATCTGAGGCTCTCCTGGCAAGATGCAAAACCATCTCAGTTCCAAGGGGCCAAGATCCCAAGGTTCTGCTGCTACCTGAGGGGCCTGAAGCTTTGAGGGCAGGGGCTGGGGAGTCACAATCCTGTGAGGCAGGGGGAGGGAAGAGTCACAAACCCAACTCAGAGCTATACTCCAGCCCTAGGCGCTTTCACTCCTCAGTGCCCTAGAAGTCACCAGTGGGTGATAACTGGGCAGAAGGGACAGGAAGACAGGGATGGCCCAGGGATTTTACCCGTTTGATTTTAGGCCTGTTTCTCGATGAAGCAGTGGGGGAGACAGGGTGGAGTTAATGAGTGAGTCATACCTCCAAGCAATAGCAGAAAGAAACAGCCTCCACTGGCAATGATGGTACCCCAGGTTAGATCCCTGGGACTCCAAACAAGGAAAGGCTAGATTCCTCCACCCAAATGCCCGGGGTGAGGACACACAGGAGGGAATCCTAAGAGCAGCTGTAGAGAGCGTGCTGGGAGGGAGCAATACAGAACAAACTCCAATACTGATGTGGACCCCCGACCAGGGAGTAAGAGCAGCACTGAGATAGCAGGCCAATCCAGAGGGCTGCGACTGACCTGGGGCTCAGTGGTGCCCAAGAGCCAGGGATCCTTTAGCGCTAGAGGGCAACAAGTGAGGGAGAGTGCTCCAAACCTGTGGAGGGAAGGAAGGAAATTGGGTTCTGTTATCAGGAGAGCCAAGATCAACTAGCTTATAGAGAGCCCCCAGGCCTGAGAAGGGGCTAAAACTCCCAACTTCTGGGTCTCAGAGGGAATAGCTGGTCCCCTTGAAGACCACTTGGCCTTAGGCCCAATCCATTCTGAGCACTGATTACCACTACAGGTTCTCTCTACCACTATCTAGAGGTCCTATGTAGACCAGGGGAGGGTAGAGGCACACGGGAACTTTGTGGGGCAAAGGGAAGCTGGGGGTAGGAAGGGATGGGGTGGGAGAAGAGGGTATAGATGTCTTGTGAAACAGAAATGTGAGACCCTCTTCATTCTGGTGTTGTCCTTGAACCAACAGCATCCCCTGAAAGGCCCCAAGCAAGACCAAGGCAGGTGCTATGAGGCAGGCAGCACAGGGCCCAAATAGAGAATCGATGCAGCCAAATCAGGGCTGTGGGAGAGGCCCTATGTATTTCGGATTCCCAGGGCTTGTTCTAATTCTTGTCGTCTCTGCTGCACCTAAAAAGAAAATAGTGGAAGGAGTGGAAAATGAGATATATTGAAAGCTGGTACCTAACATCACTGACCCGTCAGAGTTGCCAATCCTTTGTCCTTTGTCAGATTCCCTGGGCATCCAAGCGCTTACCTTGGAGTAGAAGTATCGGCACACGGCCTCTTGAGCCCAAGGCTGGAAGTAGAACTCAGCTCGGCGTTCTTCCTCGGGGTTACCCACCACATCTGTCATGGTCTGAGGGAGGCAGGAGGGAGAAGAGAGGACAGAATTATTTCCTTCCTTCACACCTGTTACTGTACCCCTCTTCCCTCCAAAAGATGTCAGGCTCCTAAACCCCTAGTACCTATGAACCTGGCCTTATTTGGAATCAGGATCTATGCAGATCATCAGGTTAAGAGAGGGTCATTAGGGTGGGTCTAATCCAATAGAAGGCGGGTGTCGTTATAGAGGGGAAACGTGGGCAGACAGATGCTCACAGAGACAACAGTGTGAAGACCGAGGATGCCCTCTATACTCCTAGAAATGCCTGAGGCCATGGGAAGCTAGGAAGCTAGGAGATGGGCCTGGAAGATTGTCCCTCACAGCCCTCAGAAGGAACCAATACCGGCTTCTTGATTTCAGACTTCCAGCCTCCAAAACAACGAGACGATTTATTTCTGCTGTTTAAGCCACCCAGTTGATGGAAATTTACAGTGGCAACCCTCGCAAACTTCCAAAGTCACCTCCTGATAACAGGAAGTCACATCTGCTCAGGGATCCATTTGGATAGCCCCTGCCCCTGGCTCCACTGCTCAGCCTCTCTATGTAACGGCAGTCACAGCCACCACGGAGAGCAGAGAGCTAAGAGCATTTTCATATATTTTGTGCTCTTTCCTATCTACTTGACTGAGCTTATGGTGCTCCCCTCTCTGTGAAATACCTCCAATCTCCAATTTTCCAGAGAGCCTTCCCCAGCTATTCTAGCCTCAGCCCGCTCCCTTCTCCTATGAATTATCTTATTGGAACTGGTGAGTTCCTAAAGTGTCTTAGCATGGTTTACTACTTTTATTTTTTATTCCTTTTTTTTTTTTTTTTTTAAAGATTTATTTTATTTTGGTCCCTTACTTTCCCTCTGGCTCTTTCACCAGACAATACAGAAACAAAGCACATGTGTGCCTCGCTGACCCAAGTCCCTCCGCACCTTTCCTAGGTCCTTTACCTTGAGGTCGCGGCACTGAGACTGAAGCCAGTCGTTGATGAAACCCTGAGGGTCTCTGGCAAAGCTCAGCATGAACTCCCGCTGGGTCTTCAGCTGATTGATAGTTTCTATTGTCTCATGGATCTGTAAGGAAGACAGCAACTCATAAAATTTCCGAATTGGGGCAAAGCAGAAATACATGGCAGACAGTGTCTGACATCTTCATGGGCCACCACTGACCCAGGCACAGGGTGCGCCTCAGAAATGACACCACTGCCCAAAGCCCCAACTGCTCTGGCACTGGGCAATTCTTTCAGCAGGGACTTTCTCGTCTCCATATCCCCTACCTAAGGTAAGTTTTCCTTTTAGTTTACACAGTGTCCACTGTGGATGAAGCTACATGGTAAATCCTGAATCCCGAGCACAAACGGGTTCCAATGTTCCCACGCAGAAAAGAGGTGGTACAGAGGGCTGTCTCAAAGGCTGTGCTTCCTGGATTTTGTTCTCTGCCCTCTTCTCATTCTCCATACTCTTTCTGGCAATTTCATCAACTTGTATGTCTTCCATTACCACTGGCAAGGTAATGAACTCCCCATCTGCAGACCGGATTCATTTTCCGAATGCCAACCTATCTGCTTGATATCTCATGGCACCTTAAACTCTCCGAAACAAAATTCATTACCTGACATGTGCCTCTCCTCTCGCTTCCCAACCCAAGTGAAAACTACCACCCACCCGAGTTAGATACTTGAGAGTCCACATAATGCCTCCTTCTCGCCTTGCCCCACAATGCCCACCAAACTAGTCTACATCCCTTCAATTCCTCTTTGACACCTCTCAGATCTAGTTACACCCACTCTCGCTGTCAGTACCATTAAGTTAAGACCATGTATCTTACATGTGTTAGGGCACCAGCCTCCTAACTGGGTTTCCTGGCCTCAAATCTGCCCCTCTTACAATTCTTTCTTCATCATTCTAAGTGCAAATAGCATCAGTCCCTCCAATCTTGGGGATGGCGTGTGAAAGCTGCTTCATGATTAGGCTCTTGCTTTCCTATCAATTTCCTTTCCCAAAACTTGCCAGCCCCTCAGGCACCTTTAGCTGTATCTATCTAGCACTTGTATTTCTTGAACACGCCCATCTGGCCTCTCTCATCTATGCACATTTACATACTGTTTCCTCCTTCTGGGTCTTCTGCCTCCCACACCCCTAACCACCACTCTCCTTTCTCCTTTTTTTTTTAAACTCCCCCTCTCTTCTTCAAGATTTAGTTGAGGCATCAACTAAATTGTTTGACAATGTGTACTATCACAGAAACCATAGGTGTAGCCATCACCATGTTTTTATGTGCCAGACAAAGTGTCCTAACTTTACACAGTGTCTCATCTAGCAACCTTATAAAAAATAGGATTTAGAGTACATGTCTACTATTAGGTCTCTATTTCACAGGTCAGCTACTGAGGCTCAAAACTTTCAAAAGGTATGGCCAGAATCAGAACTCATGTATTTCTGGCTCCAACAAGCACTGAGCACAGTACTTGGCATACACTGGCTGTCATTATATTTTGAATACCAATAATCAAAAGCAGCCTAGAACTGTGATAGAAGGTTGGTGATATCCAAACTACTAGGGCAGAGACCCTACCTTGTTGTCTAGAGTAGCAATCTCCTGCTGGCTGGCAGTAGACAGCAGAAAAGAATTCATCTGAGTCTTCAAGGTATCATCCACTTCCACATCAATGTCATAACAAGCTGTCTTTTTCTGATCATTTGGGTCAACACTGGGGAGGAAAGCAAAGAGGCCTGGTGAAAGGCCTGTCCTCTAAGACCTAATAACAGGGTCAAAAACATGGCCCAGAATGAAGAGAAAGGGGTTGATTACAAAAGGGCACAAAAGAACTGGGTGTGACAGAAAGGTTTTGTATCTTCTGTGCACTGATGGCTAAGTGGTAAATACATTTGCTGAAAGTCATCAAGTTATACTTTAAATGGGTGTGATCTATTGTATATAAACCTCAATAATGCTAATTTATTTTTAAGTTAGGGGCAAAATCTTAAAGAGCAGAAAAAATAACCAATGATGAGTTTCTGCCTCCCTATAGGAAACCACTACTGCAGTCTCTTATCTTTCTTCCTGTTAAAATTGACCCTAAAAATAAATAAATAAATAAATAAATAAATAAATGAGGGGCCTCCCTGGTGGCGCAAGGGATTAAGCACAGCACTACAAAGCAATCCACAGCCTCTGCAGCACATGTTCCATCCCCAGCCGACCAGGGAGCAACCCACATGGCGAAGCAGACCTCTCCTGTCTCGCCCGCTACTCCCTTCAGCAGTGTATTTCAGTCAGTCTGCCTGTTCTGTACCCCACTCTGTCTCTGGTGAATCCTCTTAACCCTGCATCTCTGGCCTGTACCCCAGCTCTTGTATGCATAAGTAAATAAATCTTTAAAAAGAAAAAAAGAAAGAAAGAAAGAAAACATACCCCACAACACAGAAAGATTAAAAAATGATTTAATTTAGCAGACACTACCTGCTCCCTTGCAGGGTATTTCAGTAAATCTGCCTTTTCTGTTTAAAAAAAAAAAAAGACTAAATTTTATGCACAGGAGTACATCACAGACCAGCTTCTAATGGCCTATTGCATAAACTGTAGGAGTTATGATTAACTGAGTCGTAGTTCAGGATCTAAAGAAAAGAAGGGTCTTTTTGGAATGGCATAGAGAAGGGGAAAGAAGGCAAAGATATAAAATATCCCACCACAGAAACATGCTGCTTTGAGAAATAAGTGCCCTCCTTCAATCCTTATCTGCCTAGAAATGCCTCGTTCACCCATCTTCAGTACAAAAAAGTTGAAGGGAGTGGATTTGGAATCTCAGATTGGAAAGTCCTAACATCCAGAGACCTATCATCCAGAGAAGAGGTGGTAGCCCACTGCTGGTGCCACAAAAGATGGTAACAACTGCCTTCAAAGGAGGAAAGGAAAAAAGCTCTGATTTGTAGCATTTGCCAATTTCTGTGGTTTAAATATTTCCAACAAATATGTCACTGTTGGAGACTTGGGGGAGGTATGTACTGTAACACATCATTAGGTAGTTATTTCCACCACACTGTTGTAACAGACATAAGTAACCTCAAAAAATAAATACCAGTAAAATAATTAGGGAATGAGTTTTGTGTATACAGTACCTTCTTTTTTAATGGAATGTTATTCAGTTCTAAGTTTCTATAACTTAATTTTAAATAATGGCTCTTTAATAATAATGTTTGCAAAATTCCTGCAAATCTGACAATTGGCTCCTACAAGCTGGTACTAACCAGCTCCAGCACAGCACTGTGTCCTATACACACGTTTACCTGATAACATGATTAATAATGATGGGCTCTGGTGGCATAAGCAAGGCATGGAGCCGTTGAGGGATCTCTGAAAACTTCATACGTTGCGATTCAAAGATCTGCAGAGAAGAGAAGTGGCTAAGAAGTTGGCATTTTGAGCACTAGTCCCCCATCAGACTCTAGCAAAAAAAAACAGGTCCTTTTCTTACCTGCTGGAGGTACTTGTCACAGATGACAAACTCTCGTTCATGAGGGTCCTGGAGCTTATGTGTCTTAATATATTGCCACAGTGCTTGGATGATCACTGGACGGGTCTGGGTATGGATACCCAAGAGCCGGGCCAGGCGAGGGTCTAATTTAAACTGGGGCGGCTGCAGAGAACCAAAGATTATAGAGATGAAGATAGTGACCTCAGTCTGTATTCATTTTGGGGTGCTTAGCATGACCATACCGTCAAGCTGTAATATTATAGTACTTTTTTCTGGGTCAGAAAAATACAAGGAGGAACTCAAGAATGACTAAGCTCCCATCCCTAAATTTCAGATACTTAAAGTCTGGTGGCAAATTATCCACACCTTTGTTTAAACCTTTTAATGTGAGACTGCTGATGTGACGTGGCAGTGAATATTGGATCCCCTCACAGTACCACAGAATACCTGGTAATCCAGCATCAGCAGGACAGTACACCGGACGTTCACGTCTCCTGGCCGCTTCACCTGGAAGCCATCTGTCTCCTGGGTAGTGGCGGTCCTGTGCCACTACAGAGAGGAAGATGTCAGGGGGTGCTCTCCCAGAGGAAGAGCTGGGGCGGGAGGGAAGAACTTCTGTAACGACTGAATATTCAACTTTGATTACTGAGGCTATTAGAGAAGAGCAATAGCATGAAACATTTTAAAAGATGGTGCATGGGTCTGGGATTACTGTCTGTGTATAAGTGGATCAATCTTTTAAATCTGTTTAACATCACACTTAAATTAGTCTGCATTTCCAGTGATCAACTTATTCACAAAATGGACAATATATATCTGTATCATAAAATACGTAGCTACTGTTTATTGAATACTTACTATATGTGAGATTATTCTAAGACATTTACTTGGGTCGTCTCATTGAATTCCTACAACATCCATACACAATAGGCATGGTGAAACCTTTTTCACAGATGAGAACACTAATGCTTAGAAGAGTAAAGTGACTTGCTGAAGGCAAACAGCTAAATAAGTGGTGGAACTGAAATTTGAACTTGTGTGACTGATTACAGTCCACGTTTTTAGCCACTATGCTCTACTGTTGTAAGTTAAATATATTTACAAATTGCTACTGATTCTATGACTTACTTCCCTTATTAGATGATAAAGACCTTCCCATGTCTCTTAGTGGTTGAGGTTAAGGGGCTGCAGCTACACTAGCAACGAAAGGAGCAGGTGAAGTTCACTTGGAGAACTGGACTATCTCATTATGGTTTTGATCGTATCTCAAGAACAGTGTAGTTACATCACCTTCAGAAAACTGCGTAATGGTAAAGGATTTCTATGCTTTGGAATGTGAATTGAAACAGAGCATGGACCCAAAAGAAGTCCCAGCTCTATAAAGGTAACCTTGGCAAGTTAGCCTCCTTAAACTATAGCAACTGCTTTGCTACCAGGTAAAAGCATGAAAGGCATGTGGATATCTATGCCTCATCATTACTAAAAAGCATGATGCAAAGATGGCCTGGTAGGTATTAAGAGGCCTCCACTAGAAACTCCCTTGAAAATAGGCGCAGCAAACAGGACTGAAACATGTAAAAGTTGGATAAATTAGGCTGCAAGAGCTTTTGGGTCCAAATGGCATAAGAACTAAACAAAGCTAGTGCCACCTGGAGATCAGTGTGTAGACCGCAGTAGTGGTACTGGATACCTGGGGGGTAACCCTTTGTTTATACCTCCCCACACGCTAGACATTAAATGTTGGTTCCCAGGTCCATCACATCCTCCAGTCATCGAGACAAAGTCTAGAAGGCAGAACTACTCACTTCTACCAGATGGTTGTCTGGACCATACAGGTCTTTGTCCAGTTCGATCACCAAGGACTTAAAAAAGGAAGAGAACTTCCTCTTTTGTTTGGTGGCATCGTATTTGGACAAGGCAGACTAGAAGAGAGAAGAGAGATCATATTAGAAAAGGCCAGAAGAAAATTCTCCAACAAAAAGTCCCATAAAAAGGGAACCTACAACAGCAAAGGGAAAAAACTAAAAAACTGAGTATCGCTTAGGAAATAGCAAGGTCTCTGTGATTAATAAACAAGTCATGGTAGCTACAGCACCCTGAAGAAGTAGCCCATAACATACACAGGGTCACTGACTTACCTACCTCATTTCCCAAGGGGAAATGACGCAGATTAAGCCAAAGCATTGCACAGAATAAAGTGAGAGTGAACGGAGAAAAGTCTTACTTTAGAGGAGAAATGAGTCAGGCAATAAGCAGCCAAACAAAACCAGTTTTATTTATTTATTTTTTAAACCAGTTTTCTTTGGATGGAATGACAGCACCAGCAGGTGGACTGGACCTATATTGAAGAGGCTCTGACACTGAAAAATGGATTAAAATTAGCTTGCTTGTGAACAGCTAAAAATAGAGACCCAGAGAGGGTAGGGGAATGAAAGGTGAGCTTCCCCAAGGAGCTTCTGGGGTGGGAAGTTTAGGGGCTATCACCTGTCAGTGGATGCACCCCATGAAGCAATGAAGAACCTGTCAGAGAAATATCTCCCACTTAAACTGTGAGATGTCTCCATTGAAAGTAAGGGAAATGAGCCTCCTTGGTGGTACAAGGGGTTAAGTCTCAACACCATGAAGCTATCGACACCCACTGCCACATGAGTTCAATCCCAGGCCAGGGAGGTGACCCACATGGCGCAGCAGACCTCTCCAGTCTTGCCTGCTACTCCCCTCAGCAGTGTATTTCAGTAGAACTCCCTGTTCTGCTCCCCACACTGTCTCTGGTGAATCCTCTCACCCCCCGCACCTCTGACCTATACCCAGTTCTTGTGTGCATAAATAAAAATAAATCTCAAGAAAAAAAAGAAGAAAAAAGGGCCTCCCCGGTGGCGCAGCGGTTGAGTGCTGGGTTGCGAAGCTGCCCGCAGCCTCTGTGGCACCAGTTCGATCCCCAGCTGCTTCCTGGCCACCAGAGGAGGGTCCCGTATGGCGCACAGACCTCTCCTGCCACCCGCTGCTCCCCTCAGCAGTGTACTTCGGTCCTTCTGCCTGCTCTGCTCCCCGCTTTGGCTCTGGTGAATTCTCTCACTCTCCCATGCTTCTGACTGTACCCAGTGCTTGTATGAATGAATGAATGAATGAATAAATAAATATTTAAAAAAAAAAAGAAGAAGAAAAAAAAGAAAGGGAGAAGGAGATGTCACAGTTGAAGTCAAGTACCTCAATAACTCAGAGAAGAAATAATGGCTGTAAATGGTAAATGCAAACTCAGTTGATTTAATAAAGAAAAGAAGAAATCGTAAGCGAATTATCTGCAGATACTGCTAAATCCAATGGCCAGCAGCATCAGGAGGAAGGTAAACAACAAATCAAGTCTCAGGACAATAAGGTTCTTGATATGAGACCACAGTGAGGGCCAAGCCCCGGGAGCCAGACACAAAGAACCATTGTCTCTCAGTGCACGGAACACAGTGACTCTCCCTGCTGTCCCCAACAGGAGCTGTGAGCACCAGCCAGGCTTCCTGCCAACCAGACAACACTGCTCGTTCCCAGCAGCTCCCACCCTAGACGCCCACCACAGTGGACCTTGAACTCACATCCTCCAGGAGCCGTCCTTCTACCCGAAGCTCCCAGGAAGCCACCGTCCCTTCCCCATCCTCGGCATCTGACTTAGCCGGATTGAAAGTGTTAGAAATGAAAATTCGCAGCTTCCGTTTTTGCTGAGGGAAGGCAGAAACAAAATTGATGGTGGGGATTCAGTAGTTTGATGCTGACAACAAGGGTCTCCCCAAACCCTGAAATTACTCCTAACAGTGTGGCTACTGTTTACCCAGTGCCTGGGGTGGATGCATTAATCTAGTACCGGCCACTGGCCTGAATACAAGTGCAGACACCAGGATACCATGTGGACAGTCATACAAGTGCCAGTTTCCCACGGTGGCAGAACAGTTATAGCAAAAACATGGGCAGGGTATATTTCTGGTGCAAGAGAGATCAGCCCCTCCCCTTTGCTGTTCTGTTCTTATGCTTCTAATATAATTCTCAGTTTGTAGGCGGAAGGGAGAGATGTAATTTAAATGCCAAAGAGAGCTGTGCTGTGCCTTTGATTTCCCATTCTAGGCCTGCTGAGGTTCGAGTCCTCTCCTTTGGCTCTCTGCCTAGCATTCGTTCTTTCGTGTTACCTTGATGGGACGTTTTAAGGCTTCCTGGATATCTAGCCGTTTCCTCATGATAGTCTGGTCCAGTTTCCTTTCAAATGCCAAGAGGTCCATATAGGCCTGGGATTCCGGTACCAGCTCACGAATCTTAGGAACAGAAAGATAGCATTGGGATCCAGAACTGAGTATCTCTGTTCTCAAAGTCACCACACTCTCAAGAAGACCTACCACCCAGACTCACCCTTTGAGGTAGAATTTTGTCAGCCATCTTCTTTTTCTTTGCACTGTTCAGAATAAACACTGTTATCAGGTTGGGATGGAACTAGTCAGAACATGATGAGGGCTGTCAGCACCTTCATTTACAGTAAAGTGAAGGAAGTATGAATCAAGACACCTTTCCCCACCCCCTTACCCCTGCCTCCCTCCCCATCCCCACCACCCCCTCCCATCACATGAGGAGTTCTCAAGAATGAGCACTGCATGCTCACAAAGCACCACCTCTTCTTGGTTTAGGTACTCCCACCACCTGTGTCCTCACAGATCCCCCTCCCTCAACCCCACCCCACGAGTCCTCTTACTTGTGGTTTCGGTTTTGGACCGCCTGCTGCTGGACCTGCTGGATCTGCTGAGGCGCAGGTCTCTTGCGGGACTGGTCCATTCCTGACTGGGCCAGGCCAGGTCGGACTGAAGGGTTTCCCCCATAGCCAGGGGGTCCCATGGAAGGTCCCTGAGGTGTCATTCGGCTGCCTGGCAGCATACCTGGTCTCTACAGAGGGGAGAGGACCCAGAAATGTCATGGCCTCCTCTATTAATCCCATCAAGAAAGGGATAGCAGGAGGGGGGGAAGCCCAAGTTCTTTGACTGAAACAGGCTGGAGGGTGAGGTGAAGGACAATGGGAGGCGAGCCCTCTGGCACTTGAAACACAGACAACTGGAGCTTCCTCTGCTCCTGTCCTGGTTCCATAGGAGAAGACGGCACAAAGGCCACGAGACAGCCAGCTTGTACTTAAATTCTCCCCCGTCTATTTTGTATGAGCCTTAGTTCCATCTCCTCTGGCTCCCCGTCTACTCGGTGCTGCCAGCTACTTAGAACCGAACTCATCTGCCACGACACCTTCTGCGCTCCTCTGGGCACTGGGGCGGCCCGAGCCCTGGTGCCCTCCAGCCTCGCTGATCCACCCGGACCACTTCATCCCGGCCCTGCGCCCCGACCCCCGGGGAAACAATGCCCCGGGCGCAGGTGGGGATGCTGCCTCCCCGCCCTCCCTCCGCGCCGACCCCCGCGCCCTCCCCAGCCCAGGCCCGGTCCCTCCCCGAGTCCCTCCTCCTCCCCCACCCGGCCGCTCACGGGCGCCCGCCGGCCCCGCCCCCGCCCGCGCGCCCCTCCTCCTGCCCCGCTCACCGGATAGGCCGCTCCCGGCATCGGGGAGCGGTACAGCCCTTGCCCCGGCGCCGGGCCCATCCGCACCGGAGGCCCCGGAGTCCCGCCCGGGCCCATGGCAGCCGCCGCGCCCGCCCCTCCTGACGCTCCGGCGCTGCCGCTCGGAGCCACAGACTGGAAGCCCGCCCGGGCCGCCATCTTCCCCGGAGCCGCCGCTGCAGCTGCACAAAGAACCGGAAGCGGAACTCCCCCGGCCCCCCGCGCGCCCCCGCGCGCCCGCCTGTCCGCCCGGCCGGCCGGCCGGCCCGGGAGGCTGAGGGCAGCGAGACTGCGGGCTAGAGGGGGGCAACTAGCGGGAAGAGCGTGCTGACCACTCCCTCCCGCCTTCTGGGTCCGGGAGGGAGAACCATAGAGAGGAGCTCGGGGCTAGAGAGGCCCCGCGAGCGGGCGCCCCCAGGCCGACGGGAGGAAGACGGTGACCTGGAAACCGGGCGCCCCAACCCAAGCCTCTGATGAGAGGTGCTGGAGTGCTGCTGCTTCTAGGCTCAGTGCGTTTAACTTTTCAGAGCACTCTGCTTTTCATTCCCGCTCTTGGTGATGCGGCACTGTTAGCTCCGCTTTACACAGCGGGAAGCTGCCCTCGGAGAGGAAATGACTTGGTAAAGGGCAGCCAGCAGGCAGTGAAGGCAAAGCCTAGAATCCAGATCTCTGGTTCCTAGCCCAGGGTTCATGCCACAGAGAAAATGTCTCAATAACGGGGCCTCCCTGGTGGTGCAAGGGGTTAAGCACCAAACTGTGAAGCAATCCACAGCCTCTGCAGCACGAGTTCGATCCCCGGCCCCCCAGGGAGCTACCCACATGGCTCAGCAGACCTCTCCTGTCTCGCCTGCTGCTCCCCTCAGCAGTGTATTTCAGTTGATCTGCCTGTTCTGCTCCCCACTCTGTCTCTGGTGAATCCTCTCACCCCCCCACCTCTGGCCTGTACCCCAGTTCTTGTCTGTAAAAATAAATAAATGTTTAAAAAAAAAATCAATAACTACTTCATGCTAGAACTTCAACCCAACGTCATCTCTGACATCTAACCTGACCTTCCAGATTTCAAGTTCAGGTTTGTTTTAAATTTTGACCCTGTCCCATCTCCAGAGAATCCTTTGGGATCTTTGTTGCCTTTGACCCCTCCCTCTTTCCGTGCCCAGTGGTTTAAAGCATTCCTGGTGTGACCGCCAGTCTGCCCCATCCAAAGATCACCAGCGGGTCTCTGCTCAAACCTTTCCCCTGATTGTTTGGTCCCGCTTTCAGTACTCAGTGGGAAGGACTAAGTGTTTTTAAATAAAAGAAGAACGAGACTGAGAGGAGATGGTTGAAACCCAGTTTATTAGACCAGAGGCATGCGTCACCCGTAGCTCTGCCTACTGTTCCCCATCTGCTGCACACCCTTTGGCCTTGTTCCTACTTCTCTCTGGAGAGGTGTGATCTCTAAGGAACTCCTAGGAACCAAGAGTTCTCAAAGATCCTGTTGTCTCACTCTCTAGCTCCAGGTCAATGCACCAGTGACCGGCCACAGGTCCTGTTCTGGGGTTGGAGACCAAGAGACAGCTGGGCAGAGAAGGCCTGGGAAGGGGCTGGGCTCTGGCCCTGGCGCCTGGTGGGGGTTGAGGCAGGCCTTCTACCTCATTTGGCTCTCTTTAGGTAGGAAGTGACAGAACAACAGAGCTTTCAACTTCTACTCCAGACCTGTCTCTTTCCACCCACAACCAAACCCTACCTCACCAGAAAATATCAGTGGCGGGCTTGGCTCTCAGGTGAAGAAAGGGGGTTGGGTCCTTAGAGAGGAGGGGAAGGCCACTGACTGAGATCCTCAATTTCTGCCTGTCAGCACCCCGCTGCTCCAGCTGTGGGAGTCACCAATCCACCATGCCCTCGGTCTCTGACACCCTTAGCTTAGCACACAGAGCAGATCTCTCTCAGCCTGACTAGGGGCTCTCTCTGTAGCAACCCCTTCCCTAGGGAGGCCACAGTCAGCCAAGCAAAGGGCATGGGGGTGGGTGGAGCAGGGGAGGGAATGTTAAGGCTGTAGGGATGGCAGACGGTGCCAGGTTGGGGGAAGAGGGTGAGGCCAGAAACAGGCAGAGCTTGTGATTCACAGCTTCCTTTATGTCGCCACCGAGACAGTGCGAAGGTTACAATGCGCGTGTCGTCTCCTTGTGCTTCTCAGAGGGATGTGTGTACACAGTACAGACACCAGGGGAGAGAGTCCAACTCTTTATACAGGCGAAGGCATTCAGAGACCAGGGAGGGGGCAGAAACACAGAAAGGGGAACTTGGGGGGGAGGATGGTTCTCAGAGACAAGAGGGGATGGGGTGAAGACACAGCTGGGGGAGAGTATATACAGAGGTATAGCAATATAGAGTCTGTATCATATAGAAATAGAAAATGCAGATGAGGTTGTTGAGAGAAGCAAATGAAGTTGGGGGAGAGGATTTGGGAGAGTTCCATAAGAAAATTTATGGATGTGGCCCTCTGCAGAGGCCCCTGGGAGAGGGACCAGTGAGGTTAGGCACCAGTGTCCCTCTCCCTGCGCTGGAAGCCAACCAGCTGGATCTTTTATGGGATGGCAGAGAAGGGCTGCCTCTTGGGATTTCTCTCCAGCAGCTCAGGGGTGGGTGAACTTGCAGGTGTCAGGATGTGGTCTACAGCACCAGGGCCATATCTTGTCCCCATACCCACTTCTTCAGGGCTCCCCCACTCCTGCCTCTCTGGAGATTTCACATGGTAATGGGGAGAGGACTTTGGGTCTTAATTCCTGTCTTGAGATTTGGGGTTGGGGGGGGTCACTGGGCTGAGAGGGTCTCTTAAGGCTGGGGAAGCCCCCCCCCACTAGCCCTCCCCTTCAAGGTACATTCTCTGGTTGGGGCCAAATTCCAGACCCCAGGATGCCCTTCACCCCCCACCGGGAGGGGGCTTTGGTGACTGGTGGCAGCAGAATGTAGGTGGACACTCAGATGACAGACAGACAGACAGACAGACAGAATTCAGGCTGGGAGCTGGGGGAGGCAGCATGGAGCAGAGAGGGGCAGACTGAGGTCATGTGCCCCATTCTCTCTTTTTTAGTTTCTTTTTAAGATTTGTTTAGTTTTGTTAAAAATAAAAAGAATGGGATAGAGGCAGGGGTAGGAATCTAAGGTCAAGACTCCTTCCTTAGCAGAGACCGGAGGAAAGAACTGCCCAGGAGTGGGGGGCTGCCTTGGGAGTGGGAGTGAGTCCCCAGGGCAGGTGTTGGGGCCTGGAAACTGGGGGTCTCTTTGCTCTCCTAGCCCTCCCCATCTAGGCCTTTGGTACAGTGGCCGGCAGGGCTCAGCAGGTAAAGTCTTCAAAAGTGCCTCGGGCTGGATGGTGAGGTAGGATGTTGGCGGCATACGTCATCCCGGCAGGATGGCCCCGGAGGCTCTCACACGGATTCTGGGTGGAGGGCACAGGACAGGGGCTGGTTATTCCAAGCGCCACCGTGGCAGCGGGGCGTGGGGGAAGCAAAGGAGAAAGAGTGGCAAGCGGGGTGGTCCCGGGGTGGTGGGGGGACGGGGCAGGGCTGAAAGGAGTCCTTCTCTCGCTCCCTCACGTGTCTCTTGACGTCGTCCAGGCTGAGGGCTACGCCCTTGTCCGCGCTGCTCCTTTTGGTCTCCTTCTGGCACTTCCCTCTTCGGCACAGCTTGTGCTTAATGACCTGGGACAGAGGTGCGGTGGGGGGTGCAGGGGGTGAGCGGGCGGGGAGGACCCCTCCCACGGCCCCGGCCCTTGGCCCCGGCCCTCTCACCTCGTAGGCATAGTCGAAGAGCTCCAGCACGGTGAGGATGCTGGCCCCGATGAACAGCCCCATCTGACCCCCAATGTCACCTGCGGGGGGAGCGGGGTGGGGGTGCGCAGGGAGGTCAGTGGGGTCAGGACACCGTGGGGGCGGCAGAGCTCCCTGGGATGGGGCACAAGTTATATTTGCAAAGTGATTCACAACCTTCCTAAAGAAGGAGCACAAAGCGATTCTGCACAGGTTTCCTTTCCTTCTCTGCTTTCTGCATTTTTCTACTTTTCGAAAACGAATAGGAATTATTCAGAAAAAAAAGTTATTTGTAAAATAACTCAAAATTCTCCATCCCTGGGCACATTTTCAAGGGCATGTGAAATAGTTCCCCGTTCCACTACCTACCCCTGGTCTTCACGATAGTCCTGTCTCCGCTTGGCCCTAAGAGAAGGCTCCGTCCCTCTCCCACCACATACCAAGACAAGAGAGTTTGGGGCCAGGTCCCTGAGGATGGAAGTGGGAGGAGTGTGTGGGGCAGAGGTGAGCAGCAGAGGTGTCAGGCCATGCCCATGGCATGGGAAAGGGTCAGGTGCCATCAGCAGCTCACCCAGGAGCCCTGCAATCTCATAGGCCTTCTTCTGTTCAATGGTCTCATAGTTGAGAACTTCAAAGAAAATGTCCAGCACCAAGATGTTCTCCCTGCAAAGGGGTTGGGGGAGGAGACCTAGGTTCAAGTCATATCTCTGCCCCTTACTAGTTAGGTGACCTTGCCAAGTTATCCCGGAATCTCAGTCTGCTTGTCCATGAAATGAGATGCTGAGGGGGATACCTGCCTTATGGGGTTCTTGTGAGGATTAAACGTAATGGCTTATATGAAAAGATATTTTGCACATTGGCAAGTTTGAGGTGATTCCAGTTACAGCAATGAGGATGAAGAGAGAGGATACAGCAAAGAGGGGAAGAGAGAGAGCTGCCTCCCCTGCTTGCTCCAGCTTCATTTCCCCTCCACACCCAGCCCAGATTCTTTGGATGCCTTCTCCGTGTTCTCTCAACTTCCTTCTGCCCCATCAAAGCCCACACTGCTCGCTCGTACCCTTCAGAGTCCCAGCCCCAGGGCCCCGTCCTGCACGGTCACATCCCTTACCCTATGTACTGCTCAGACTTGTTGAACTTCTTGGCCAGATACTTGGCTGACGCTTTGCTGGGGATCTTGACCATGGACAGCTCCTTGCCGTAGCGAGTCAGGTTGCAGGGCATTTCACACACACAGTACTCCTGGTCCTTCTCCACCAGGAAGTCTGTGCCCAGCCAGGTGAGAGTCACCAGTTGAAAAGCGCCCTTCTGCCAGCACCTTCCCAACACAAACATCCTGGCCCTGCTCATGGGAACCCTGGGCCCCCTTCCCGGCCCAGGTACCTGTCCTTCACCTTGTGCTGGTCCCACCCAGCCTCCCCATGGATAGTTCCTAATCCTTGGGAGTCAAACAGCTGAGGTGCTGATGAGAAGGGCGGGGGGGGG